AATGGCGCGCCCGGCGGCGCCGCGGACGCATCGCGCGCGGGCGGCTCCGCGGGCCCCGGGTTTGCCGTCGTGTCAAGGTGGAAACCTCCATCCTCAGGTTCTCCCTCCGCCCTCCCTCCACCGTGGCATGACGCACCCCCTCCGCCCTCGTGCTCCCCAGTCGTGAGCTCCTCGTCCTCCTCTGCAATGGGAGGCAGCGGCTGGGGGTGCGCGGTCGGGGCGGCGGGCACAGATTGCCAGGTGAAGTTGCGAGTGGTGATCGCTTGGCGTTTTTCGTTCAGGATGCGTACGCAATCACGGTTTGTGTTGATTCCAGGGCCGAGGTAAAAACACTTTTTTGCTTTCGGCTCTGACTTGTGCGTGCGCTTGACCTTGTATACGGCGGGTTTGAGGAACGGGTACGTCGCCTCTGGGGGAGGTGGGTGCCCGTGCCACATTTCGTACGGCGATTTCTTGTCCGGGTTGGATGTGGTGGAGGTGCAGTTCAGGGCGTTGCATGCCCAAGCTGTGGCTTCGGCCCAAAGGGAGGGGTAGCTTGGTGCTTCGGGGTAAAGAATCGTCGCTTGTATGCGGGCGGCTAGTGCTGCATCCTTTATCAGTCCCAGTGCTCTCTCAGCTACACCGTTGTATTCTGGGCTGTATGCGGGGGTGAACTCCTGCTTGATGCAATACTTGCGGCACAGCTTTCCGAACTCTCCCTCGAAAAACTCTCCTCCGTTGTCAGACCGCACGACCATGACCTCGGATGGGGCTCCGTCTGCCCTGTTTTCCGCTAGGTATCTCTCGAATGCCTCTGCAGCGTCTGACTTGTTTTTCAAGAAGTAGACGCGGTTCCACCTCGTGCAGTCATCCCTTACAATGAGAGTGTACCACTTCCCCCCCAAGCTCTGCACCCTTGCCTTCCCACTCAAATCCACGAACACTCTCTGCAGTTTCTTAACTGCTCGGGTTGACGTCCTGTTGGGGATGGGCTTGGATAGCCCCTTTGCCGTCGAGCACCCCATGCACTCCCGGAGCTGGCCCACCAGAGTCACCCCTTGCTGCTTCGCCGTGTTCTTCAGCAGCACCTCGTGGGAGTGGCCGTGCGCGCAGTGGAAGTCGTTGATGTCAACGGGGGTGCGGTTCGCTTTCGCGTTACCAGGAGCAATTATGGCACAGGCTAGTTCCCTACCCGACTCTATGCGGTGACCAGTCTGAACGAACAGGTCCCCCCATAGAGGGAAGTACACCGACTCCCCCCCACCAACGAACACCTCCAACTCACGCTCGTCTGCGGCTAAGCGGCCCTTGGTTTGCTTCAAAAGGGCTGTGAGGGACACGAGGTTGTAATTCAGCTCCGGCACATGAGCGACCCGTTTCAACAGCAGGTCTGTGGTCCCAACGCGAGAACCGATGGACACCCTCACGTCGCCGTAGCCTACTATGGCGAAGGCTTGCTTCCCTGCGGCGACACTCAAACGTCGATCGCACTCATGGTAGTTTTCGAACGCGTTAGCGCTCGGGAACATGTGGTTGGTTGCGCCGGTATCGGCCACAAACCTTTCCTGCCTGGCCTGCTCTACACCCCCTCGATCAACGACTCTGTTCCACTCGCCTGTGAAGTCACGGACCACTAGCGCCTCCTCTGCCACGGTCCAGTGCGGTGGCGTCCAAGACCGGCAGCTCCACCGCGAGCACCGCCTGCTCGGACGAGCACTTGCTCTTGTCGTGTCCGTAGCCCAGGCATTTCTCGCATCGCAGGGGCTCCGGCTTGGTACAGGCGGCCGCCTGGTGACCCTTCTCTCCGCACCGGAAGCCAGCGGCCGTGCATGCTACCTGCACCGCCGCCGCCTCCGCCGCTGTTGCCACCACCACCGCCCTTGCGACCACCCCCTTTCCCCTTCTGGCTGCCACCGCCGCCGCCGCCCTTGCTGTGGCCGCCGCTGTTGCGGCCGGGCGCCTCCGCCCCTGTTGCCACCGTCGCTCGCGAGGAAAGCATGCTCCGCCTTCCGCTGGCCCTTCGTGGCCCTCCTCCCCTCCGGGAGGCTCGCGTGCACGGTACTGACTACCCTGATTATCTCGCCCCGGTCCAGGTTTGTAGCCGTCTCCAACAAGAATTTGGCTTGTTGGTACTCGTGGTGGAAGGGCATCGACAAAGTGTGCGAGAACAAAGGGTGTGTCAGCGTTGAGCCCTTTTTCCCGCAGTCGTGAGTACAGCAGCTCGAGCGTGTATAGATGCTCGACAGGGTTGCTGTTGCTGTGTGCGGGGATCGTGAATCGAAACATCTTCTTCATGAGGGCTTGTTTCGAGCCCTGCGACTCCGGGTTGTGTACTTTGTCGAGCTCCGCAAGGATCTCCTTTGCGGTCTCGCATTTATTCACGATTGCCTTGTCGGCTTCTCGGACGATGGCTGTAGTCACAAAGTGGAACGCCTGGAGGCCCCTCTGAACCTCATCACTTGTGTAGCCCAAGCTATACAGCTCCGAGCTAGGCCTGTTTGGGTCACCGACGGGTGCGTGCTTCTCGGCGTTGCCGATAAGCTGCCCGTCCAAGCCTACGGTTTTTGCGGCTTGAATAAGGGCCTTCCTCCACGAGTCGTACCCGTGGCCGCGACTCTCCCCTTCGAGACGCGGTGCATTGACCGTAACACGTTTTTGGCTACTACTGCTGTACCCATCAAAAAATGCTCCGGCCCCTCGAATTGCGGTTTTGCTCACCTTGGGGGTTTAACCCCCTCGCTTCCCCGCGGTCCGGTCCTACGCCCGGGCTCATTTCCGGCTGGCCCCACAGGATTCGCTCCCGATCTACCTGCCCAGCCAAGTCGTCACTCTCGCTGGAACCCCAGGACTCGCTCCCGGTATGTTGTCCCAGCTGCTTTCCCGCGGGTGATTTCGCCCATCACGGGCCGTTTCCCGGGAAAACGCCCCGCCGCCCCCAGGCGGCAGAGCCTCTCTCTGGCTTGGGACGGCAGCACCGCCGCCCCTACTGGCATCGCCCGCCACGGCGTCACCAGGCTCCTTCCTCTTCAACTCCATCACTACGCTCATCAGCTGCGATAACTGGCCCTCCAGCCTCGCAATCGCCGGATCCTCGGCGTGTTGCTGTTGCATGGCTGAGGTCTCTTCCCCCAGCCCTGCGACGGAACCGCTGTCCGACGCAGACATGACCCGATGCGGCTATCCCTCGAGGGACAATCAATCTAAACTCTAGAGTGTTTGTCGGCCGTACTCCGCGTACTTATCGGGTATTGTTTGTGTAGTGTATTAACTTCAGACGATGAGGCAACGCCCGTACCCAGGGCGCTGTCGTGCTCAGAAAGGAGGAGTGGCAGCAGGGCTGCTGCACACAACAAAAGGGGGCCCCGGTGCATCATCACCGTACCCCTACCTAAAAGGTTCTACACCATCTGCGTCACACTTGTACGTACGGCTAACATATCCAAACCATGTCCGTAGACCCACGAACACCCGTGGTCAGATGAAAGCATTAAGCGACACTACCCGTCACGGGTTTCTGTTGTAGGGTCCGGAGTGAATCACACACGGACGGCCAAGGCAGATTGTATCTGCTGCACAACTTTCCGAGGGTCAGGTTGTACGCCGGCGTACGTATGCAGCTACCGGCGCATCATGGATTGCGGCATTTGTCCAATCAAACAGCCCGAACTGGCAGCGTGACTAAATGTTGTCCAAGGTCGATCCCCAACGTCCCAACCTGACCTCAGGGCGGTTGGGAACCGGTTACAACCTCCCTTTGGCTACCCGTACATCCAGGCATTCGAGAATTGTTTGATATTTCGGGGCTGATTGTATCGGCGTGGTACATGCAGTTGCTGTAGATTTTTCTATGGAACAGTTCGACTCATTACTGTGTACTTCATAGTTTGAAACTCCTGGGCTTTTGTCGGCAAGGTTTTTTGTATGCTTTTTGGTATGAACGCCGTTCTCTACTACTTCCCTTTCCCGCGCTCTTTCTGCCCTTGAACAAACTTCAATGACAATGACAGCCATGGGGCGTTCTCGGTTCTGCAAGACCTCGATGACCTTCACCGCCGCTTTTCTTCTGGGGCACCAGTCCGGTGCTCACGCCGCCGCTCACCTGCACCTGCGCCAACTAGTCACGTGAGTGGGCTAGGTGGTCGTTGTCTCACGAAAGCCCTGATGTGTCAATCTCATACAGCTGTTCGGAGAGCTTGCGTGACTACCTCTACACAAGGTCATTGAAATCTCGCAGGACTCGTCAAGTGCATCCGTGTGATGGAGGTAGATTATTTGAGGAGGTTTTATTTGGGGTTTATATCCATACTGTACTATAATACTGTTCGAGGGAGAGTTGAAAGGAATGAAAATTGCGTTTCACGGTGAGTCGCGAGGTATCCCGGCGCTTGGTTTTCGAAACGTTTCGTATGGTGCGTCCTTCGTCATTGCAGGTTCATAGATGAGTGAATTTTCTCGTGATTTCCATGGAGAAGTCGTTTTTCTCAATCATGGACATTAGCCTACCTACGACGTCCTTCGAGTTCGCCGGAGGTTCCTCGGAAGCCACGGTCAATGGAAGCATTGTTGGTTGAGGTCGGTGCAACATCGAGACGCTCGAAAACACAGTCATTCGCTACCAACACGCACTCATATCGCGTATCTAATCCCAGATACTACGGTAGGCAGACATGGTATTCTATTCAAATATATGTGGAACACCTCCATATCTCCGTACAGTACAACCACGGAGTTTTTTCCGCACACAGCTAATAATACCTTCGGCAGTTACCGCACGTGGCTTGCTTTGCGCCCACCCCGCGACTTACGACGACCCGTGCCGACCTGCATCAATGACACTTTTCGGTTCTTTCACAGCTGCGATGATACCTGCGAGTACACTAGCACCGACGGGACTACGGGGCGCACATGCGACCCCACGTGCGATGACGGCGAGCCCTATGGCGTGTATGGGTGCAATACCAAGGATGGAAAATACGGGAGTAACTGCCGATACTGCTTCAACGACATCAGCAGGGCTATCAAATTCGACTCTCCCGACGATCGCACCATCATGTAAGGGTTATGCTGTACATATACCCATCGCTGCGATCGACTTTTTGATCATCAGCAAGAGTCCTTCCTGCGATACTGTGGTAGTGGTGACCGGCGAGAGCCCGTGTAAGAAGGAATTGGCAGTACACCATACGTAACATCGAAACCACCGGCCAATCGTGACCTCCTTCGTGACAAGAACTCATGTTTTGAGTGGCCTTCTTTCGATATCCCGGCTCTCTCGGCCTCCGCTGACAGGTGTGACACGCTTCAGCCTCCGGACCTTGATGCTCTGGAATCTGGGTGAGTGGTCCTCATATTACGGCTGCGACGGAGATGTTCGGTCTGGCAGATCCGAAGTATGTCTTGAGCTTGATCCGCGTTGATGGTGAGCTCCGCCAGGTACATCTGATGGTTGCACCAACACTTCCTTTGCTTTCGCCCGTCCTGTCTGAGCATCTGTCGCTCCATCACTGCCTGTTTGAAAATGGACAGGTGTACTGATAGCTGCGAGTACACCAGTAACGATGGGACCACGGGGCGCATGTGCGACCCCACGTGCGAAGACGGCGACCCCCACGGCATGCTATTTTGTGATACCAAGAGCGGCCAGTATGGGAGTAACTGCCGATACTGCTTCAACGACGTCGACAGGGCTATGAAATTCGACACTCCCGACAACCGCGCCATCATGTAAGGGGTCTTCTGCATGTATGTCACGGCGTCCGGTCCGTGTCCATCAGAAAGTCTTCCGGTAGTGATGATGGCCGGCAAGAACCCATTTGGATGGAACTGGCAGTATATCGTGAGACACGGCAATCGTTATATTGTAGTCCGAACATGGGAATCTCTGCGTATGTCCCGCTTCTCTGTATTTTCACTGTCAGGTGCGACACGCTTCTGCCGGTCGGCACCGATGCTGGAGACGATTTTGAGTGAGTGAAGCTTGCGCTGTGGCGTTGACAGGGAGGTTTCTTCTGGAGGATCGGCATTTATCTTTGAGTTCTTGCCGTTTTGGCGCGTGGTGTGTGTCTGGAAGTTGGGGCCAAAGTCTGGCTTGGCCCACCATTCGTTTCTCCCTCCCTTGTATCCAATATTTGTGTCAAAAAATTTGAATGAAACATTTCGTGGAAGTCCATAGAAGTCCATGACACCATATCCACGGACGTCCGTGGAAGTCCATGAAACGTTTCATGATGGAAGTCTACGAAACATTTGAGGGACGTCAGAGAAAGATTCCAATGACACCAACCTGCCGAGCAAATGAGCCGAAGGTTTGTTGAAAACCGAAGCCCATGAAATGTGTGTGTGTGCACGGACCCCCATAGACTTCCAAGAAACTTTCATTTTTTGGAAGAAGTAATATGGACTTCCACGAAGAAATTGTTCATGCAATATTTCATGGAAGTGCATGGAATGTTTAGGAAGTCCATGAATGAATTTTTCACGAACGTTCACGGACATTCATGAATGCATGTCATGGATGTCCGCGAAATGTTTCCATGAAATGTTTCATGACAAAGTAGTGAAATAATTTAATGGAATGTTTCATGACCATGAAATTCCAAGAAACTTCCATGGACTTCCATGAAACGCTCCGTGGAAAAACACGAAAATGTACAAGCTGATTCAGCAAGTTTCACTGCAGGAGCGCCGGTGGCGTCATTTGATCGAGGATGCGAACGAATCACAGAAAATGTGCGGCGATCATTTTTCGTGCGGTACGGTGTGCTGAACGCCATCATTCTGACGACATTCTATTGGCAGGTTTTGTGCTTCCTCCCGAGGTGCATGTCAATCGAGGAGTCGGCATTTTGCTGCAAAATACAAGGTCGACATGGTCCAAACGTTCAGCCGAACCACATGTCATTACATCAATCAATGAAGAACATGCCTCCATGAAATTTACTAATATCCCCGAAGGTCGTCTAACCGCCGTAACCACCGTATCACTTTGACGGATGCGATCGTACACCCCCTTCGCCTCAACGACGTGCAGTGGCAACTACACGCACCTGGGATGCTTCATGGACAGCCCGGATGATCGAGTTCTCGGACACAAGTTGACTGATGATGACGACACGACCGCCGAAGTACGTATCGCAGAGAACACCGTCGGAAGGGAACTCACGCTGCACAATCTATAGTACGAAAAGTCTTGTGCTCACGCAGACACCATGCCCGCACTCGATGGTGGGATAAACCTTGACCCACTAGCACAGTACACTGTAAGGCTGTCTCTTATGGAATCTAACTGAACGCACGGCTAGTTCAAGTGGCGCCCTTGGTTTCTATTTTCTAGCTCTTCGTGGTTGAGCTGATACTGGCGCCCCCACCGATCTGACGCTGTGCGGGTATTATTGTTCGGTTTCCAACCAGTTTTGCTACGGCTACTGCGTGGGCTTGCGAGCCCTGTGGATGGCTACCCAGTTCGGGAAGGAGTGCTGGTGCGCAACCGACGTTGATATTGACTATACGCGCCACGGAGAAGGAGCGCAATGTAACCAGGCTTGCGCCGGCGATGAGGTATTCATGGGTGGGAAACGAATTACAGTCAAAGTGTGTCGTCCGTCGCCGATGGTTACATTGCGGCGAAAAAGACGCGGCAAGCACCATCCTTGCCGGTTGCATGCCACACAACGACACGAGACGTACAAGGTTCCGGGTGGTGGCGGAAACTATGGACTTACGTAAAATACATATTTTCAAGCTCTGCCACTGAAATCTCGCGTGTTTCGTACTTTTAACCCCCCCTCCAACGTTCAACTGCGACACCCGCGTGCGTGTCGGTATTATCATCAATACCTTACAGTATTACAGTACAGGATGTACAGTAGTGGGACAATAAAACCTTTTTGAATTGGAGACAATGTCATCACACCAGCTCACTTTCGCCGCCCTTTTCTCTATGTCTGAGCCTGTTTGTCCCTGTCTTCGTCTCTCGTCCGTCTCGCTGTTTCATTGCCTATTGCTTCCCCCTCCCCCCGCCGGTTTGCTTCCACTTCACAGAACGAATCTTGCGGCGGTTTTAATGCTTTTGATTTATTCCGCATCGACTCGGAGTACACCACGAGGTATGACGTCCGACTGAGTGCTTCCTGCTTTCAAGCACATAGATAGACTTCGTGAAATGTGCCAGATTCGTACAGTATTTCCCTCACTTCATGCATTAGGTGTGGGCTCGTATTCCAGTCAACACACGTCAGCTGTTGTGAACTCTGTTGACCTTGGAAAACGTTACAACTGGCAACTGGCAGACATCTGTGGGCTGGTCCTGCTGCCTGCTAATATTTTGTCATACTGCATCTTCCCTTATGGCACGGTGCTCTCTTGAGCTCACTCCCTCCCACTCCGGAAGAATAAATTACATTTGTAACAGCGCGAGTATCTTTCGTGCGGCCTACGACTCCTGCAATCAAGCGCTGCGACACCAGAAGGAGCGTTCAGCGAGGACATCGTCCAGATCATCGAAGTCGAAGGTACTGATCCAGGTGGCGCATATTGGGCTGACAGCTACTCGGTCGGTGGAAAGTGCTACATGCAGACCACGTTCGATCACGACATTGGCGAGGTGGAGGTGGACACACCGCAAGGCACCATGAAAATCGAAGATCTCTTTAACCTTCTAGAACCAGGACCGGGATCTGAAGGCCGACCCCTCTACAACGATATTCAATGCGGAAACGGCCCAGTCAATTCCGATTCCTTAGGCGATGAGTTCCTCTGCCCCGGTCTGGTGGAATACGGCCGGGAAGGTTGCGGACAGATCGGTCCAATGTGGGATCTTTCTGAACTCGAGTAACCAACCCCGAGCGGCAGCGTTTGAAACTAGATGTATGTATTGTACGAGTATTGTAAATCACCGAGAGGAGAGAGACAAGAGGAAGGGAGTGGGTGACCACATCTGCAATGAGGACACGTGTGGCGGGAAATCTGACGTCCTGCCCATTGCATTCCCGGGGGGGGGGGTTCACTGAATATGATTTCTTGGTGTAGTCTAATGAAACTTCTTGCTTATTTCTGTAGGGAATTTCATATGAAACGTTCGACACACCACTTATGTTATGTGTGATGATATTGAAGTTACTGTGAATTGTAGTAAACCTAGTGTATGTATGTATGTGTGGTATTTCATTGTGTAAGAATAATATACAAGTTTTAGAATGTGATACTTGAGCCTATTCAGTATGCTGTAGAATGTATGGCTTTTCTACCATCACGCTGAACCCTGTACAATAAAGGCCTTTACCAAACTGAATTAAGGGCAAGTATATGGGCTAGAGGGGCAAGACGTCAGGAATCCCGCTGCAAGTGCCCTTTTGACTTATTTCTACTGTCTGGAAAACGAGGTCCAGTGCTAATCTCTTAGCTTATAATCCTTCAAGAAATGCCTATGTATCGGCGGAATGCAAACCGCCCAAACCACTCAATATAGTCTACGCCTTCCATGTAAACATACGAAAGGTTATGTACGAACGCAAGAGAGGTATGTAGGTAGAAATCTGAGTGGGGCAATCACATCACAAGTACTACCGAGAGACCTGCACAATGCTAAAGGGGGAAAACCCGGCCTCCCCCCAAAAAATCTCCAACAATACCTTCGCCGCCGTGTCACCAATGATTGCAACGGTCATACAAGCGAACAGCGGGAATAACCCAAAGACTCGGTCCAAATAAACCACTGCTATAGCTGCGCTCCGTACTCAGAACCGACGCGAAAAACAGCGTTCAGGTCGACAACCTTCTACCAAGACAAAATTTGTCCACAAGAGAACAGCAAAATGGTACATCGCCCTTACTGCAGCTACACATTCATCCCTCAAAATAAGCAGGTGGCATCCCATTTCCCTTGTGCGCTTCGGGTCTCCCACGCTTTCTGCGGTGATACTACATAATCCGCCCATGGGCGCCACGTTGTGCCCATGGGCTGCCCGCAGACAGCCCACCGGCCGCACATGGGCAGAGCGGGGCCCACGAGCAAGTCCATCGGCAGCCCATGGTGGGCACGTCGTGGGCAGTTCAAGGGCTGCCCATGAACCACGGGCAGTCCATGGACCGTCAATGAGCGCCCTTCAACCGGAACCGCTGTACATACCACAAAACAAAAAAAAGGCAATACCCATATCGCCAAATACCCTAACCCCCAAGCCCACACGATACGTGCTACGGTAGGTTGGCGCCGACTGACTCCAGCGCGAGGTTGATGTGTCAGTGGCCACGTCCTACATGTAAGTTGATATGCCGGTGGCGAAGGTCTGGGTTGAAGTGCACACGGTAGCCACTTCGTGGGCAGTCAGTTCATGGCCTGCCCGTGGGGTCGTTCATGGACTGCCCATGGGTGGCCCCATGGGCAGTCCATGAAGTGTGCCCATGGGCAGCCGGCCCATGGGCGACCCATGTCGGGTTTAGCAAAACTGCAAGTAGTGTGGGATATTGCGGCCCGCTCAGAGGCATGGGACGAAACGTTCGACCTCCTCTTGAGAAAAGTACCGGTTCGTTCGGCGGCTTGAGAGCAGCAGGATGCCTGTTTGCCGCATATGCTGAGCATTCCAAAACAATTTGCGGCTGGAAATTGCTCATTCATCTGTCTCAGACTCTTTTCTATGATAGAGATGGATTCGTTGTGTCATATTAAGAAAAAAAAGAAAACAATTTGCGGCTGGAATGCACTGGATTGTAGTCTATGCTGTAGTGTATTGTACTTGTGCACGAACAGGGAGCAGTCGTCCACCCGCCGACAACGTATGTAGCAAGATTGACACTTGTTCACAAACGAAATGATAAACATTCTCGAAGTAATCCCTCCGGAGTGGGCTCATTCGGTCACAGTGTCATCAAGGAAGCGGTGATGCAAATTGAAATAGCAGACAGAATGACCAACTCAAAGCTGACTGCCAACTGCCGTTTGACGTACGCTTGACGTGTACCAAACTCAACAGCCCACGCAGCTGACGTGTTTTGATGTTCGACGGGTGCAAACAAAACATACTGGGAGCACTACTCATATAGCGTGGTGCATAAGCATTGGTCGTACTCATTGTCGAAGTGCTGGTGGTGCACATCCGTAATATAGGTCGCAAGATCGGGTCATTGTTTTTCGGTCCCTTGCTTGTTCCTTCGATCTGGATAGACTATCCGTCCTGGTTTGACCGAACTCTACAGCGAGTAAATGTACGCACGTACGATCGCAAACACACACACACACACACACACACACACATGATCCACCAGGTAGTCGTCCTCCATACGTGGCCACAAGTTGTTGGGGATTGGATGCAATCGCCTGCTGCCAAATGCACAGCAAAAAGCAAACATCTAGACTAACACTCGAACCACTATTTACATATATTTCGCCGCATCTCCGGTTTGTCCAATGAAATAGCCGATCCTCACGCGAAACGATATCTATTCCGCCGCAAAAAAAAAATGATCAGATCAGCAGCTCAAAGGGCTGGAGGAAGACGGATTCACAGCAGGTGTAGAGACGTGCTGCTCTGCTCCTCACTGCTGATTCGCGTGACTGACATGACACCGGGTGTCATCCATAAATCTCAGGTGTGTGCTACATTGTTATCGTCGTTCACACATTGCGACGCGTGGCCTCCAACAGAGTTCAACGAAAGCCGACTGACTGTGCACTACTCGCTCAAGTGTTCTGTCAACCCTCACCTGCCTCCGAGTGCTATAACCGCGACGCCACAACCACGCGACGGCAGTTGATGATCAACATGGAAGCAGGGAGTAACATGTGGCACAGTGGCCAAACCCCACACAGACGTGTGTTTGCACGTGCGGTGATGATATGATATTTCTGGTTAAAACATTCAGACCGCTGCACATGAAAACTCCTCAACATCATTGCTCAACTATACAAAAGTCACAAAACATTGCTAATCTGTCTCAGACTCTTTTCTATGATGGAGATGGTTTCGTGGTGTCATATTAAGGAAAAAAAAAAAAATACCTCAACCCTCAACCCATCCCCTTCGACTCTGGTTAGACTATATCTCGAACGGATAGTCTTTCTGTGACTTTATGAGTATTCCTAACAAGATGCCCCCCTACTGTAACTTGTTGAGCCTGTACCCTACAGGGTAGATGTCGCTGTATGCTGCTCGGGGAATCGTAGAAAAACACGTCCGCAAACATAACGCTACATAGAATTCAAAGCAAAATTTCTCAGAATCGTACAATATTTACAGTAGAATACAAGTAGTTGTAGTCTTGGAAGAGAAGAACTTGTTGTGTGTTTCGTCTATGTAGACAAGAATAAACAATATTTCATGTCAGCGATCCTATATGTAATCGGCGACATATTTCCATCAAACCGAGAACAACTGTGGTCTCCATCGAAACGTGAAATTAAATCCTCCGATATCATGCAACTGTAGCACACACCCTGTCGATCTAGCCTCCTGGATTCAGCCTTACACACGTTCGAAAATACTTGGTTGATGTGGGAGCCGTTCCTCTGCTTTATTAGAGTTGGGTGCGCAAGACGTGGTCACGAAATTATAATCGAAAGCTCTGGGCTGATACACCATCATCGGCACTGCTGTTTATTATTGAACACCGTCTGTTACACACTTGCCCTTTCTATTGCTGTGGTATTTCTGCACGTGAACAACATTCAGCAATAACGACGGCAATGAGGTGCTCTCAGTTCTGCAAGGCCTCGGCGATCATTACGGTCGCTTCTCTTCTGGCACACCAGACCGGCGCCCAACCAGCCTCGTGAGTGGGATAGGTCATTGTTGCCCATTTAGTGAGATGAGTCGCGAGGCGTGTTTGGCTGTTTCCAAACCTTCGTATGGTGCGTCCTGCGTTGTTGAACGTTGCACAGGCAGGGGAAACGTCTGGATCTCAATATTTCCTGTAGGTAACGTCTTTCAATGACTACCACGTACACAAACGTCCGTGGAATTCAGCTTCCATGGGAAGTCGCGGTCAGTTGAAGGATTGTTCCTGGCAGTCGTTTCAAAAATGTGGTCCATGTGGAAGCCCGTGGAAGCTTCCATGGAAGTAGCATCCAAGCTCGTGCAACCTCCAGGATGTTTCCGTTGCGCACCTACAATTGCAGTATATTTCACGGAAAGTTTCGCGGAATGCCATAGAGACCCATGGAGGACCGCGGGAGTTTATGGCACTCCGTCGTACATGCCACGTACATCGACGGAACTCCAAGGTGGAACATACGACTCCCGCCCCTTTCCGTGCGATGCGATGGAGTTCCATGGAAACCCGTGGGTCGCCAAGGAAACAATGGAGTCCCGGCCTAACACAACGAGCCATGGAGTGCCTGCGCTTTGGAAATTCTTGGTCATTTACGTGGCATTTGTACGTTTGGTTCCTTGCAGTATCGAAGGATATGCCATGGCATTCCGTGCCGTTCCATGGGTTTTTTCGGACCTAAAGCCCAGACTCAATTCCATTCGGTATTCGTTACAAGCTCGAGGCTGTTGCATGGTGCAAGCAAGTGACGTATTCTTCATCTTCGCGGTATGAATGTGCACGTTTCATCCGCTTGAATGCAGCGAAGGCAGGCAAGACGCCAACGGCCTATTTCTATATGGCAACACTATTTAATCGTCTTGGTTTTAAGGAACGAATCGGTTTGAGATCATCGTTTGCTCTTCGTGGTGGTAGCAGGACCACTGCTACTATTGAAAAAACGAGACGGTTTTTTGCTTACTGTAGAGTTAAGGGAAAAATTAATAATCAAACTTTGGTTCGTGAAACGTCAAGCATTTTATCATCCAAGATAATCCCACAGCCGCGTCACTTCGACCGATGCAACATACCCTGTCGCCCTAACGATATGCAGCGGGAACGAATACACGTACGTGGGATGTTTCAAAGACACCAAGGAAGATCGAATTTTGGGGGACCAGATGACTAATGGCCAGGAAATGACCACCGAGGTACGTATCGCGCAAGACTATTAGGCTTGGGTTCTAGAAAAGACATCGGGATCGGAATGCCACGATGCACTCTCTAGTTTTTTGGTCATATTCTGCACCAACCACGTTCGACACAAAGAGCCGGTTGGTATTGATCAATCAGCACACAAAAGGCTGCCTGTTTTGGTTCCACTGGCGCCAGCCTCGTTCGACAGGCATTGTTCATTGTGTCTGTGCCCGAAGTGCGACATACGAGTACCAGTCGGAAGCTTAGCCTCTAACCTAGAGTCCGAGTTGCTTGGGTTCTTGTGAATCGAGATGTTCTGGTCGCCCTTGGTGTTTCTTCACCAACCCTATTCGCTTCTTGGCTAAGCATAGGTTATCACCCATCGGGCATGCGCTGGTTGTGCATCTTGTTGCGCTTTCGTGCAGTTCTGCTACAACTACTGCATTGGCTTAGGGGCCCTGTGGATGGCCACCCAGTACGCGATTGAGTGTTGGTGCACAAACGAGGTCGAACTCGACTATGCCCGCCACGGAGCGGGAGCGCAATGTAACTACGATTGCGCGGGTGATGAGGTACGAAATACTTGGAAACGAATCACGGTCAGGAGCTCGTCGCGCGCGGACGATGTGCACATGGCCATGTGCAAGACGTAGCATGCACGACCCTTTGTCTGCTGCTTTTCACGACCACATGGGACGTGCAAGATTGTGCGTAGTGGTGTGAACTGCCCTGAATGGCACACTGAACCCGCTACCACTTAAGAACCTGACAGTGAACGAACAACAAGACAAGAACAATGTCAGACCGGACCGCGGTGGGGTGACTCGAAAAGAGCACTTTAGCAAGTACGATAGCGGTTCATGATCTGCAGAGGAAATATGAACTCGAACCTTGGTGGTGCGTTTTGTATGCACGTGATCTCTAGGTGAACATAGGTTTGACGGGCATGGGAAAATCTGATATTGTTTTCTCTCGTTTTCCGAAATCGGCCGTTGCTTTCCAGCATTTTCCGCACGTCGAGCCCCTCCGTTTAACTGCCTCACCCGCTTGCTTATCGGCAATCCCGGCAATCCTAGCGGGAACAGTCCTGAAACTGATTCCGAAGCCATGCGTAGTCGGTCTCTGCCCCTCGATATATCACGGCTCCAACCTCACCACCCATAACACCAAGTCACTTCGCCGTCCCGTTGTTTACCTCTATCCGTCGCCGCTGATTCTTCCTCCATCTCTGCCTTCTCCCTAACCCGCCCGTGTTCTTGCACTTCGCAGAGCGAGTTTTGCGGCGGGTTTGATGCTTTCGATTTATACCGCACCGACTCGGACTCCATCACTAGGTGTGACCTCCGACTGCGTGCCTCGCGAATGTGTTTTTTTAATTCAAACACAAAAAGCTTGAATGTATGCATATTTGAGCAACTGTGCAAAACCTAAGCAGTCTAGGCTCCTTGAAAGGATATCTGCCAATCATTCAATGTCCCAGCCCAAGCAACCAGAAGTAGCCCCAACGCAAAAGAAATTCTTGCCAAGAACCGTGCGTAGGATCGAAACTAATGAAGCGGTGAACCTAACAACCAAGGACACCCCTGCCCCCTCTACCCCACCATACCCTGCCCGCACGTGTACAACGTGCCGCCATGCACGAGCGGTATGAAGACCAAACTAGAGATGTTGTGGAAGCGTCAAAACCGCAACAATGGTTTCGGCTATATCCAAGATTACGGGCAGCGAAAAACAACTGAAATCGGCCGCACCGCTTAGAAACCGTTACAGTACTCCAGGTGGTCATCAGTATAATTTGTCGCATAGAGGCCACGTGCGCGTGAGTTCGCACTCTCAGCTCTGTTGTTGGGGCCGTGATATGGAAGGCCCTCCTTCGAAAAACAATTCTCGAACTAAAGCGAGGGGGAAGCTGAGGGTACGCTGACACAATGTTTGCAGTACAGCCCCGCTCCGGTGACCACCAGCATGCTCTCTCCCTCGTCTATTGCTCTCCGTGTCATCTTCGTCTGCTTCTCGTTATACTCTCGCAGCGACGGCGACACAACCCCCACGCCCGTCGACGGCGAAACCACCAACGAGCAGGGCAACGGCACCGAAGGGTAAGACCAATACCAAGAAGTATGATGTCGCTTTCCCCTCGAAGTCTGCGCGATCGTCGTGTCTCGGCACCAGAGAGGCCCAAGTCTCGCGGTGTTTCTCTTTCCAAGAAGCTGTCGATTTCAAACCACTTGGGACTTCAACGATTGTGTGGCGGATACTAGCAGCGAATGGATGTTTCGTCTCAGTCCATGACATGCAGTATACGTGCAGAATGAGATCGGCTGTACTACTTCGAAACCATTACCTTACCTTCAGGTGGTCATCAGTAGAGTCTGTCGCATAGAAGACGCGAGTGCGCTCTCGCTCTCAGCTTTGTTGATGACCCTGGAATATTGTTTGGATGTACATATGTTACAAGTCAGCGCTGGCTTGTAGCATGTAGCACAGTGGATATGCTGTACATTTAATCAATATTCGAGTCTTTCAGGTGTATCCCAGACTTTTTTCCCGGAATATTGGCGTTTCAAATGGTCCACGAGGGATTCAAGGACCCCGGTTGTACTTTTGGAAAGATTTACAGCATATCCACTATGCTACAAGTCAGTGCTGACTTGTAGCATAGTGGATATTCTGAACATCTTAACAAATATTGAAGGCCCTCGGTCGATAAACGCCATGTTCGATTCTCAGGTTAGAGTGAGAGAGATGTTGAGGACAAAATCTGCAGTAGAGCTCCGCTCCGGTGCCCACCAGCATACTCACTCCATCGTCCGTTCCTCTCCGTGCCAAATTCGTCTGCTTCTCAATATCCTTTCGCAGAGACGGCGGCACAGCTCCCACGCCCGTCGACGGGGAAACCAACAACGACCAAGGCAACGGCACCGAAGGGTAAGATCAATGCCAAGATCAATGCCAAGAAGTATGGTGTATCTTTCCCCTCTACGTCTGGCTGGTCGACGTTGTCTCGACACGAGAAAGGGACGTGTCTCGAGGTTTCTCTTTACAAGGCGCTCTCGGGGTTTCTGTCGTACTACTGGATGAGTTCGTATAGCCGATGCTACGGGTGTGGTATACCCGCCGGAGTTCGGGACATCGCGTGTTGGACTGGTCGGTGTTAGTGACACGTGGATTTTTGATGCCACACCTGGCTGCTGCACAGCGTGATCCGGACGATACATTGGGCCATATCTACCCTAACACCGCTCTATTCCCTTCAGATCATGAATGACATGATAATGTTCGGCCGAGCTAGCGTTGAGAATGAAATGCTGATCAAGCTTTGTTCGTGAAATCACGCCAACATCGTCAACCATCGTATCCCTTCCGCCGATTCAATCATTCCCTGCTTTCGCCCTGACGGAGCGCAGTGGGAACGATTACACATACGTAGGATGCTTCAAGGACAGCCAGCAAGATCGCATATTGGGGGACCAGCTGACAAATTCCCAGGAAATGACTACCGAGGTAAGTATCGCAGAGTCTATGCCTGGGTTCAATGTAGAAAACTTTGGAATCAGAATTTCACGATTTGTGTTGGCGATACAGAATCCATGTGCGACACAAGAGTCCGTTATTGATAGTTATTTCGAAAAGCTACCTGTTTTGGTGCCCGTTCCACTGACACCGGGCTCGTTAGAGCGGCATAGGTCGTTGTTTCGGGCCCTGTAATTCGACTTACAAATACGACTCCGACGTGCAGCCTCGCACCACGATTCTGTGTTGCTTGGTCTCTTCTCAATCGAAATATTCTGCTCGCCCTTGGTGCTACCTCCTCGTATCGTGTCGCTTCTTGGCTGAGTTTACGCTGCCACCCATCGGCCTGACGCTGGTTGTGTATTTGTTGTGCGTTCGTATAGTTTTGCTACGACTATTGCATTACGAAGGACGCCACATTTATGGCTACTCAGTACGCGATTGAGTGCTGGTGCACATCCGAGCCCGAGGATCAGGTCGACTATGCCCGCCACGGAGAGGGAGCGCAGTGTAACTACGATTGCGCCGGCGATGAGGTACGAAAGGCTCGGAAGCAAATAACGGTCAGGAGCTTGTCGCCCGCGTGCGATGTTCACATTGCGACGTACAATACGTACATTGTAGAAAGCACGACCGTCATCTGCTGCGTTTCACGACCACATGGGACGCGTGTGGTAGCGCGTAGTGCCGTAGAATACGTTCATGAAACGATAATCTCGTAATCTCTTCCCGAATGTTCTCTTCCCGAATGTTGGCGTAAAGGGCAAGTAAAACTTGCCTCTGCTTGCCCTTGCTGTCGAAAATCTGCCGTTGCTCTCCCGCTTTTCCGAACTTGACAGTAGACCCCACCAAAGTTCAACTTCCACATCAGCTGGCCTGCCTGGATTCACGTCAACTCTAAACAGTGAGGACAATCCAACCTCTTGAACTCATTCCAAAGCCACCCATATTCGGTCTCCCAGCCCTCGAAATACCAAGCACCCTAAGTATTTGCTTTTAGCGTCAGCAAGCTTCTCAGCCCTGTTCTCAATCTCTCTGGTCTCGTCTGCGTCTCTATCTCTCTCGGTTTCTCTGTGCGTGTGTCTGCCCTCCACCTATCTTCCTCCACATCATAGGACGAGTCGTGCGGTGGTTTTGATGCTTTCGATCTATACCGCATCGGCGCGGCCTACACTACGAGGTGCGAGCATGTATATATATATCGGAGCCACGTTGTTTACAGTTTGGCTGAATGGCCATGTCGGCAAAACGTTTCATGGTCTGCTCTAACTATTCAGAAGCAAAAGGGGAGCAAAATCCATGTCTTGTTCAATTCCAAGATGACACGAGCGTACGCCATCAGCAAAATCGGCCGTACGGCTTGGACCCTCCCTTCGGTGGATATCAGCAGAATCTGTCACCCAGAGGTGACGGGCGCTTTAGAACAATCAGCTCTGCTGTTGAAGCTGGTATAGAGAAGGCCTTCGGTCGATAAATCCCATTGTCGATTCTCAAATTGAGGTGGTGGTGAAGCTGAGAGTAGCGGGACACACCGTTTGCAGTAGACCACTAATCCAGTGACCACCAGCATACTCACTCCCTCGTCCGTTCCTCTCCGTGCCAACTTCGTCTGCTTCTCATTATCCGCTCGCAGCGACGGCGACACAGCTCCCACGCCCGTCGACGGCGAAACCAACAACGATCAAGGCAACGGCACCGAAGGGTAAGATCAATGCCAAGAATGATGGTGTCCCTTTCACCTTCAAGTCTGGGCGGTCGTCGTGTCCGGGCACCAGAGAGGCCGATATCTCGCGGTGATTTTCTTTCGAAGGCGCTGTCGATTTCAATTCACTTGGAACATCAAAGATTGTGTGGCGGACACTGGGAGTGAATGGATGTTTCGTCTTAGTCCATGATGACATGCAGTATACGTGCCGAATGAGATCGACTGTACAACTTCGAAACCATTACCTCACCTCCAGGTGGTCATCAGTATAGAATCATCGCATAGAAGACGCGAGTGCGCTCTCGGTCTCAGCCGTGTTGATGAAGCTCGAACATGGAAGGCCCTCGGTCGAAACGCGCCTTGTACAAGTTCCAGATTGAGGGGGCGGGGAAGTTGAGGGAAGGCCGACACAAAATCTGCAGTAGAGCTCCGCTCCGGTGCCCACCAGCATACTCGTGCCCTCGTCCGTTCCTCTCTGTACCAACTTCGTCTGCTTCTCGATATACTCTCGCAGAGACGGCGGCACAGCTCCCACGCCCGTCGACGGCGAAACCAACAACGATCAAGGCAACGACACCGAAGGGTAAGATCAATGCCAAGAAATATGATGTCGCTTTCCCCTCCAAGTCTGGGCGGTCGTCGTGTCTCGGCACGAGAGAGGCCTAAATCTCCCGGTGTTCCCCTTTCCAAGGCGCTGTCGATTTCAATTGACGTGGAACATCAAAGATTGTGTGGCGGATACTGGGAGCGAATGGATGTTGCGTCCCAGTCCATGATGACGTGCAGTATACGTGCCAAATGAGATCGACTGTACTTCTTCGAAACCAGTACCTTACCTCCAGGTGGTTATCAGTATAGAATCGTCGCATAGAAGACGCGAGTGCGCTCTCGGTCTTAGCCGCGTTGATGAAGATCAAACATGGAAGGCCCTCGGTCGATAAACGCCGTGTTCGATTCTCAGGTTAGAGCGAGAGGGATGTTTAGGTTAGGCCGACACAAAATCTGCAGCAGAGCTCCGCTCCGGTGCCCACAAGCATACTCTCTCCATCATCCGTTCCTCTCTGTACCAACTTGGTCTGCTTCTCGTTACACTCTCGCAGAGACGGCGGCACAGCGCCCACGCCGGTCGACGGTGAAGTCAACAACGACCAAGGGAACGGCACCGAAGGGTAAGATCAGTGCTGAAAAGTATGATGTCGGTCGCTCCTCCAAGTCTGCGCGGTCGTCGTGTCTCGGCGCGAGAGAGGCCTATATCTCCCGGTGTTTCCCTTTCCAAGGCGCTATCTTGGAACATCAAAACTGCGTAGTGGACACAGGGAGCGAATAGACGTTTCGTCTCAATCCATGATGACGTGCAGTGTACGTGCCAAATGAGATCGACTGTACTACTTCATTACCTTACCTCCAGGTGGCCATCAGTATAGAGTCTCTCGCATAGAAGACGCGAGTGCGCTCTCGGTCCTAGCCGTGTTGATGACGCTCGAACATGGAAGGCCCTCGGTCGATAAACGCCGTGTTCGATTCTCAGGTTTGATTGAGAGGGATGTTTAGGGTAGGCCGATACAATATCTGCAGTAGAGCTCCGCTCCGGCGCCCACAAGCATACTCTCTCCATCATCCGTTCCTCTCTGTACCAACTTCGTCTGCTCCTCGTTACACTCTCGCAGAGACGGCGGCACAGCGCCCACGCCGGTCGACGGTGAAGTCAACAACGACCAAGGGAACGGCACCGAAGGGTAAGATCAGTGCTGAAAAGTATGATGTCGGTCGCCCCTCCAAGTTTGGGCGGTCGTCGTGTCTCGGCACCAGAGAGGCCAATATCTCCCGGTGTTTCCCTTTCCAAGGCGCTGTCTTGGAACATCAAAACTGCGTAGTGGACACTGGGAGCGAATAGATGTTCTGTCTCAATCCATGATGACATGCCGTATACGTGCCGAATGTGATCGGTTGTACTGCAGTACCTTGAAACCGGTACCTTACCTTCAGGTGATCATCAGCAGAATCTGTCGCATCGAAGACGAGAGTGCGCCCTCAGTCTCAGCGGTGTTGATGACGCTCGAATATAGAAGGCCCTCGGTCGACAAACGCCGTATTCGATTCTCAGGTTAGATTGAGAGGGATGTTGAGGCCAAAATCTGCAGTAGAGCTCCCCTCCGGTGCCCACCAGAACACTCACCCCCTCGTCCGTTCCTTTCCGTGCCAACTTCGTCTGCTTCTCGTTATACTCTCGCAGAGACGGCGGCACAGCCCCCACGCCCGTCGACGGCGAAGCCAACAACGATCAAGGCAACGACACCGAAGGGTAAGATCAATGCCAAGAAGTGTGATGTCGCTTTCCCCTCCAAGTCTGCGCGGTCGTCGTGTCTCGGCACCAGAGAGGCCTACATCTCCCGGTGTTTCCCTTTCCAAGGCGCTGTCGATTTCAACCACTTGGAACATCAAAGAGTGCGTGGCGGATACTGGCAGTGAATGGATGTTGTGTCTCAGTTTATGATGACATGCAGTATGCGTGCGAAATGAGATCGGCTGTACTACTTCGAAACCATTACCTTACCTTGAGGTGGCACATAAGTAGACTTTGTCGCACAGACGACGAGAGTGCGCTCTCGCTCTCAGTTTTGTTGATGAAGCTCGAACATAAAGAACCTCGGTCGATAAACGCCGGGTTCGAGTCTCAGGTTCGAGTAAATGGGTTGTTTAGGGTAGGCCGACACAAAATCTGCAGTAGAGGTCCGCTACAGTACCCTCACTCCCTCGTCCGTTCCTCTCCTTGCCAACTTCGTCTGCTTCTCGATATGCTCTCGCAGAGACGGTGGCACAGCCCCCACGCCCGTCGACGGCGAAGCCAACAACGATCCAGGCAACGACACCGAAGGGTAAGATCAATGCCAAGAAGTGTGATGTCGGTTGCCCCTTCCAAGTCTGGCCGGTCGTCGTGTCTCGGCACGAGAGAGGCCTACATCTCCCGGTGTTTCCCTTTCCAAGGCACTGTCCATTTCAAATCACTTGGAACATCAAAGATTGTGTGGTGGACACTGGGAGCGAATGGATGTTGCGTCTCAGTCGATGATGACATGCAGTATACGTGCCGAATGAGATCGGCTCTTTTGCGGTACTTCGAAACCATGACCTTACCTCCAGGTGGTCATCAGTATAGAATCTCTTGCATAGAAGGCGAGAGTGCGCTCTCGTCTTCAGCCGGGTTGAGGAAGCTCGAACATGGAAGGCCCTCGGTCGATAAACGCCGTGTTCGATTCTCTGGTTTTGAGTCATAGGGAAGTTAAGGGGAGGCCGACACAAAATCTGCAGTAGAACTCCACTACAGTGCCCACAAGCATACTCACTCCCTCGTCCATTCCTTTCCGTGCCAACTTCGTCTGCTTCTCAATATTCTCTCGCAGAGACGGCGGCACAGCCCCCATGCCCGTCGACGGCGAAGTCGACAACGATCAAGGCAACGACACCGAAGGGTAAGGTCAATGCCAAGAAGTATGATGTCTTGCCCCTACAAGTTTGCACGGTCGTCGTGTCTCGGCACCAGAGAGGCCCACACCTTGCGGTGTTTCCCATTCCAAGGCTCTGTCGGTTTCAAACCACTTGGAACATCAACGATTGTGTGGCGGATACTGGGAGCGAATGGATGTTGCGTCTCAGTCCAAGATGACATGCAGTATACGTGCCAAATGAGATCGGCTATTGTGCGTTACTTCGAAATCATTACCTTACCTTCAGGTGGTCATCAGTATATAATCTGTCGCGTCGAAGACGCGAGTGCGCTCTCGCTCTCAGCCGTGTTGAGGAAGATCAAATATTGAAGGCTCTCGGTCGATAAACGCCGTGTTCGATTCTCAGGCTTGAGTGAATGGGTTGCGGAGGGTAGGCCGACACAAAATCTGCAGTAGAGCTCCGCTCCGGTGCCCACAAGCATACTCACTCCCTCGTCCTATTCTCTCTGTGCCAACTTCGTCTGCTTCTCGTTATCCTCTCGCAGGGACGGCGCCATAGCCCCCACGCCCGTCGACGGCGAAGCCAACAACGATCAAGGCAACGGCACCGAAGGGTAAGATCAATGCCAAGAAGTATGATGTCGGTTGCACCTCCAAGTTTAGGCGGTCGTCGTGTCTCGGCACCAGAGAGGCCCACATCTCCCTGTGTTTCCCTTTCCAACGCGCTGTCGATTTCAAACCACTTGGAACATCAAAGAGTGCGTGGCGGACACTGGGGGCGAATAGATCTTTAGGATCACATGCAGTATGCGTGCCGAATGTGATCGGCTGTACTACAGTACCTTGAAACCAGTACCTTACCTTCAGGTGATCATCAGTATAGAATCTGTCGCGTCGAAGACGCGAGTGCGCCCTCGTTCTCAGCCGTGTTGAGGAAGCTCGAACATGGAAGGACCTCGATCGATAAACGCCGTGTTCGATTCTCAGGTTTGAGTGAGAGCGATGTTGAGGGAAGGCCGACATAAGATCTGCAGTAGAGCTCCGCTCCGGTGACCACAAGCACACTCACTCCCTCGTCCATTCCTCTCCGTGCCAACTTCGTCTGCTTCTCAATATGCTCTCGCAGAGACGGCGGCCCAGCCCCCACGCCCGTCGACGGCGGAACGAACAACGATCAAGGCAACGACACCGAAGGGTAAGATCAATGCCAAGAAGTGTGATGTCGCTTTCCCCTCCAAGAATACGCGGTTTTCGTGTCTCGGCACGAGAGAGGCCTATTTCTCTCGGTGTTTTCTTTTCGAAAGCGCTGTCGATTTCGACTACTTCGAACATCAAAGATTGTGCGGCGGACACTGGGAGCTAATGGATGCTGCGTCTCAGGCCATGATGACATGCAGTATACGTGCCGAATGAGATCAGCTGTACTACGGTACCTTGAAACCAGTACCTTACCTTCAGGTGGTCATCAGCATAGAATCTCTCGCATAGAAGGCGAGTGTGCGCTCTCGCTCTCATCCGTGTTTAGGAAGCTCGAACATGGAAGGCCCTCGGTCAATAAACGCCGTGTTCGATTCTCAGGTTTGAGTGAGAGCGATGTTGAGGGAAGGCCAACATAAGATCTGCAGTAGAGCTCCGCTCCGGTGACCACAAGCACACTCACTCCCTCGTCCGTTCCTCTCCGTGCCAACTTCGTCTGCCTCTCGTTATCCTCTCGAAGGGACGGCGGCACAGCCCCCACGCCCGTCGACGGCGAAGCCAACAACGATCAAGGCAACGGCACCGAAGGGTAAGATCAATCCCAAGAAGTGTGATGTCGCTTTCCCCTCCAAGCCTGCGCGGTCGTCGTGTCTCGGCACCAGAGATGCCTACATCTCTCGGCGTTTCCCGTTCCAGGGCGCTGTCGATTTCGACTACTTGCAACATCAAAGGTTGTGCGGCGGACACTGGGAGCTAATGGATGCTGCGTCTCAGGCCATGATGACATGCAGTATACGTGCCGAATACGACGGGCAACTTCGCGGTACTTCGAAACCATTACCTTACACTCAGGTGGTCATCAGTATAGAATCTCTCGCATAGAAGGCGAGTGTGCGCTCTCGTCCTCAGCCGGGTTGAGGAAGCTCGAATTTTGAACGACCTCGGTCGAGAAACGCCGTGTTCGACTCTCGGGTTAGAGTGAGAGGGATGTTGAGGGTAGGCCGACACAAAATCTGCAGTACAGCTCCGCTCCGGTGCCGACAAGCACACTCACTCCCTCGTCCATTCCTCTCCGTGCCAACTTCGTCTGCTTCTCAATATGCTCTCGCAGAGACGGCGGCCCAGCCCCCACGCCCGTCGACGGCGGAACGAACAACGATCAAGGCAACGACACCGAAGGGTAAGATCAATGCCAAGAAGTGTGATGTCGCTTTCCCCTCCAAGAATACGCGGTTTTCGTGTCTCGGCACGAGAGAGGCCTATTTCTCTCGGTGTTTTCTTTTCGAAAGCGCTGTCGATTTCGACTACTTCGAACATCAAAGATTGTGCGGCGGACACTGGGAGCTAATGGATGCTGCGTCTCAGGCCATGATGACATGCAGTATACGTGCCGAATGAGATCAGCTGTACTACGGTACCTTGAAACCAGTACCTTACCTTCAGGTGGTCATCAGCATAGAATCTCTCGCATAGAAGGCGAGAGTGCGCTCTCGCTCTCATCCGTGTTTAGGAAGCTCGAACATGGAAGGCCCTCGGTCAATAAACGCCGTGTTCGATTCTCAGGTTTGCGTGAGAGGGATGTTGAGGGTAGGCCGACACAAACTCTGCAGTAGAGCTCCGCTCCGGTGACCACAAGCACACTCACTCCCTCGTCCGTTCCTCTACGTGACAACTTCGTCTGCTTCTCGATATCCTCTCGCAGAGACGGCGCCACAGCCCCGACGCCCGTCGACGGCGAAACCAACAACGATCAAGGCAACGACACCGAAGGGTAAGATCAATGCCAAGAAGTGTGATGTCGGTTTCCAGCCTGCGCGGTCGTCGTGTCTCGGCACCAGAGAGGCCAATATCTCCCGGTGATTCCCTTTCCAAGGCGCTGTCGATTTCAATTCACTTGGAACATCAAAGTTCGCATAGCGGACACTGGCAACGAATGGATGTTTCGTCTCAGTCCATGATGACATGTAGTTTCGTGCCGAATGAGATCATCTGTACTACTTCGAAACCATTACCTTACCTTCAGGTTGCATTCAGTAGAATCTGTCGAAGAGAAGACACGAGTGCGCTCTCGTTCTCAGCTTTGTTGGCCAAGTTCAAACATGGATGGCCCTCGGTCGAAACACGCCTTGTACAAGTTCGAAGTTGAGGGGGCGGGGAAGTTGAGGGTAGGCAGACAGAGCATTTGCAGTAGACCCCTGCTCCGGTGACCACCAGCATTCTCACTCCATCGTCCGTTGCTCTCTATACCAACTTCGTCTGCTTCTCGTTATCCTCTCGCAGAGACGGCGGCACAGCCCCCACGCCCATCGACGGCGAAACCAACAACGATCAAGACAACGGCACCGAAGGGTAAGATCATTTCCAAGAGGTGTGATGTCTCTTTCCCCTCCAAGTCTTGTTGGTCGTCGTGGTCTCTGCAGGAGAGAGGCCCATATCTTGAAGTGATTCTCTTTCCAAGGTGCTATCGATTTGAATTCACTTGGAACATCAACGATTGTGTGGCGGACACTGCCAACGAAAACATATTTCGTCTCAGTTCATGATGACATGCAGAGTACATAGAGAATCAACTCGGCTGTACGTAGAAACCAGTACCTTACGACTCATGCAACGGTAGGGGTGCACGAATCCCTTCTGAGTCTCAAACGAGAGAAGCTCCATATCTCAGCCTGAAATGGACATTGACACAACATGAAAATATGACGTGACAGGTAATCCGATGGGCTAGATGAAACGCCATTGAAATTTGAAATCGGAGTTGATATTCGAAGGTTATTGGTTGGTTATTCATCTGAATAACCGAAGGTTTTGGGCCGTAATGTGCTATCCCTACCGTTGCATGACTCTTACCTTCAGGTGGTCATCAGTAGAGTCTGTCGAATAGACGACGCGAGTGCGCTCGTACTCTCAGCTTTATTGATGAAACTCGAATATTGAAGGCCCTCCGTCGATAAACGCCATGTTCGATTCTCAGGTTAGAGTGAGGGGGGTGTTGAGGGTAGGCCCACACAAAATCTGCAGTAGAGCTCCGCTCCGGTGCCCACCAGCACACGCACTCCCTCGTCCGTTGCTCTCCGTGCCAAATTCGTCTGCTTCTCAATATCCTCTCGCAGAGACGGCGGCACAGCTCCCACGCCCGTCGACGGGGAAACCAACAGCGATCAAGGCAACGGCACCGAAGGGTAAGATCAATGCCAAGATCAATGCCAAGAAGTATGGTGTATCTTTCCCCTCTACGTCTGGCTGGTCGACGTTGTCTCGACACGAGAAAGGGACGTGTCTCGAGGTTTCTCTTTACAAGGCGCTCTCGGGGTTTCTGTCGTACTACTGGATGAGTTCGTATAGCCGATGCTACGGGTGTGGTATACCCGCCGGAGTTCGGGACATCGCATGTTGGACTGGTCGGTGTTAGTGACACGTGGATTTTTAAGGCCACACCTGGCTGCTGCACAGCGTGATCCGGACGATACATTGGGCCATATCTACCCTAACACCGCTCTATTCCCTTCAGATCATGAATGACATGATAATGTTCGGCCGAGCTAGCGTTGAGAATGAAATGCTGATCAAGCTTTGTTCGTGAAATCACGCCAGCATCGTCAACCATCGTATCCCTTCCGCCGATCCAATCATTCCCTGCTTTCGCCCTAACGAAGCGCAGTGGGAACGATTACACATACGTAGGATGCTTCAAGGACAGCCAGCAAGATCGCATATTGGGGGACCAGCTGACAAATTCCCAGGAAATGACTACCGAGGTAAGTATCACAGAGTCTATGCCTGGGTTCAATGTAGAAAACTTTGGAATCAGAATTTCACGATGCAATGTGTAGTGTCTTGGCGATACAGAATCCATGTGCGACACAAGAGTCCGTTGATTTTGATAGTCATTCGAGAAGCTACCTGTTTTGGTGCCCGTTCCACTGACACCGGGCTCGTTAGAGCGGCATAGGTCGTTGTTTCGGGCCCTGGAATTCGACTTACGAGTACGAGTCCGACGTGCAGCCTCGCATCATGAGTCTGTGTTGCTTGGTCTCTTCTCAATCGAAATATTCTGCTCGCCCTTGGTGCTACCTCCTCGTATCGTGTCGCTTCTTGGCTGAGTTTACGCTGCCACCCATCGGCCTGACGCTGGTTGTGTATTTGTTGTGCGTTCGTATAGTTTTGCTACGACTATTGCATTACGAAGGACGCCACATTTATGGCTACCCAGTACGCGATTGAGTGCTGGTGCACATCCGAGCCCGAGGATCAGGTCGACTATGCCCGCCACGGAGAGGGAGCGCAGTGTAACTACGATTGCGCCGGCGATGAGGTACGAAAGGCTCGGAAGCAAATAACGGTCAGGAGCTTGTCGCCCGCGTGCGATGTTCACATTGCGACGTACAATACGTACATTGTAGAAAGCACGACCGTTGTCTGCTGCGTTTCACGACCACAGGGGACGCGTGTGGTAACGCGTAGTGCCGCAAAATACGTTCATGAAACGATAATCTCGTAATCTCTTCCCGAATGTTGGCCTAAAGGGCAAGTAAATATTGCCTCTGCTTGCCCTTGTTGTCAAAAATCTGCCGTTGCTTTCCCGTTTTTCCGAACTTGACAGTAGACCCCACCAAAGTTCAACTTCTACATCAGCCGGCCTGGCTGTATTCACGTCAACTCTAAACAGTGAGGACAATCCAACCTCTTGAACTCATTCCAAAGCCACCCATATTCGGTCTCCCAGCCCTCGAAATACGAAGCACCCGAAGTATTTGCTTTTAGCGTCAGCAAACTTCTCAGCCCTGTTCTCAATCTCTCTGGTCTCGTCTGCGTCTCTCTCTCTCGGTTTCTCTGTGCGTGTCTCTGCCCTCCATCTATCTTCCTCCACATCATAGGACGAGTCGTGCGGTGGTTTTGATGCTTTCGATCTATACCGCATCGGCGCGGCCTACACTACGAGGTGTGAGCATGCGCCTGAGTTCTTCAAGACTACATATATATATATCGGAGCCACGTTGTTTATAGTTTGGCTGAATGGCCATGTCGGCAAAACGTTTCATGGTCTGCTCTAACTATTCAGAAGCAAAAGGGAAGCAAAATCCATGTCTTGTTCAATTCCAAGATGACACGAGCGTACGGAATCAACAAAATCGGCCGTACGGCTTGGACCCTCCCTTGGGTGGATATCAGCAGAATCTGTCACCCAGAGGAGACGCGCGCTTCAGAACAATCAGCTCTGCTGTTGAAGCTGGGATAGAGAAGGCCTTCGGTCGATAAACGCCATTTTCGATTCTCAAGTTGAGGTGGTGGTGAAGCTGAGACTAGCGGGACACACCGTTTGCAGTAGACCCCTAATCCAGTGACCACCAGCACACTCACTCCCTCGTCCGTTCCTCTCCGTGCCAACTTCGTCTGCTTCTCATTATCCGCTCGCAGCGACGGCGGCACAGCTCCCACGCCCGTCGACGGCGAAACCAACAACGATCAAGGCAACGACACCGAAGGGTAAGGCCAATGCCAAGAATGATGTTGTCCCTCCCCCCTTCAAGTCTGGGAGGTCGTCGGTCTCGGCACCAGAGAGGCCGATATCTCGCGGTGTTTCCCTTTCCAAGGCGCTGTCGATTTCAAACCACTTGGAACATCAACGATTGTGTGGCGGACACTGGGAGCGAATGGATGTTTCGTCTCAGTCCATGATGACATGCAGTATACGTACCGAATGAGATCGGCTATTTTGCGGTACTTCGAAACCATTGCCTTACCTCCAGGTGGCCATCAGTAGAGTCTGTCGCATAGAAGACGCGAGTGCGTTCTCGGTCTCAGCCGTGTTGATGAAGCTCGAATATAGAAGGCCCTCGGTCGATAAACGCCGTGTTCGATTCTCAGGTTTGAGTGAGAGGGATGTTGAGGGAAGGCCGACACAAAATCTGGAGTAGAACTCCGCTCCGGTGACCACCAACATACTCACTCCCTCGTCCGTTCCTTTACGTGACAACTTCGTCTGCTTCTTGTTATCCTCTCGCAGAGACGGCGGCACAGCTCCCACGCCCGTCGACGGCGAAACCAACAACGATCAAGGCAACGACACCGAAGGGTAAGATCAATCCCAAGACGTATGATGTCGTTTTCCCCTCCAAGTCTGCGCGGTCGTCGTGTCTCGGCACCAGAGAGGCCTATATATCGCGGTGCGTCTCTTTCCAAGGCGCTGTCGATTTCGACTACTTTGAACATCAAAGTTCGCATAGCAGACACTGGTGGCGAATGGATGTTTCGTCTCAGTCCATGATGACATGCAGTATACGTGCCGAATGAGATCGGCTGTACTACAGTACTCTGAAACCAGTACCTTACCTTCAGGTGGTTATCAGCAGATCTGTCGCATAGAAGACGCGAGTGCGCTCTCGCCCTCATTCGTGTTGATGAAGCTCGAACATGGAAGGCCCAAGGTCGATTATCAGCGTGTTCGATTCTCAGGTTAGCGTGAGAGGGATGTTGAGGGTAGGCCGAAACAAAATCTGCAGTAGAGCTTCACTCCGGTGCCCACCAGCATACTCACTCCATCGCCCGTTCCCCTACGTGACAACTTCGTCTGCTTCTCGTTGTCCTCTCGCAGAGACGGCGGCACAGCCCCCACGCCCGTCGACGGCGAAACCAACAACGATCAAGGCAACGGCACCGAAGGGTAAGATCAATGCCAAGAAGTATGATGTTTCTTTCCCCTCCAAGTCTTGTTGGTCGTCGTGGTCTCTGCAGGAGGGATGCACTTGCCTCGGTGTTTCTCTTTTCAACGTGCTGTCGATTTCAAACTACTTGGAACATTATAGATTGTTCGGCGCACACTGGGGGCGAATGGATGTTTCGTCTCATCAGTCCATGATGAGATGAAGCTGTATCGCCTAGAATCCCTTACCATACTCCAGGTGGCCATCAGTAAAATCTGTCGCATAGAGGACACGTGCGGGTGTGTTCGCACTCTCTCAGCTCTGCTGTGAGACGTCGAACATGGAAGGCCCTCGGTCGTAGATCGCCGTGTTTGATCTTCAGGTTTCCGGAAAGGGGCAAGCTGAGGGAAGGTCGCCTGAACACTTGCCGTAGAGTCCTGCTCCGGTGACCACCAGTATGCTGAATTCCTCATATAATCCTTTGCATGCAATGTTCTTCTGCTTCTCGATACCCTGTCGCAGAGACGGCGACACAGCTCCTACGCCAGTCGACGGCGGAACCGACAACGATCAAGGCAGCGGCACGGAAGGGTAAGACCACTACCAAGAAGTATCGTGGTCGATTTCCCCTCCATGTCTCGAACGGTCGCTGTGGTCTCGGCACGAGAGAGGGACATGTCTCGGTGATTCTATTGCTAAGGCGCAGTCGCTTTTGTCATCCTATACGTTTGTAGAGCCGAAAATACCGGAGTAGTATGCATAAGTCCGCCAGATTTTGACATCGCGTTTTGGACTGATCCGTGTTTACGACCTGTGTATCTCTCATGCCATCTCCTACTGTTGCGAAGTGAAATGGAGACTACCATAAGCGATGTGACATTAGAAGGAGCGTTCAGTGAGGACATCGTCCGGATCATCGACGTCGAAGGTGTTGTTCCAGGTGGCGCAAGTTGGGCTGACAGCTACTCCGTCGGAAGCAAGTGCTACATGCAGACCACGTTTGACCACGGCATTGGCGAGGTGGAGGTGGACACACCGCAAGGCACCATGAAAATCGAAGATCTATTTTTCCTTCTAGAACCTGGACCCGGATCTGAAGGCCGACCCCTCTACAACGATATTCAATGCGGAAACGGCCCAGTCAATTCCGACAATATACTTGATGAAATCGTTTGCCCTGGTCTGGTGGAATACGGTATTGAAGGCTGCGGCCAGATCGGTCCATTGTGGGATCTTTCAGAGCTCGAGTAGCCTACAGCGACAACTTTTGAGTTACGAGTAGCGCGTCGATGTTAGGGTCAGCGTGTCACCCTTGGGCTTTCGGCTTCAGTCGTGACGCAGGCCTCACTTCGCTGGTCGAGGGGTGGGGCCTTCCAGACCAAGTGCTGCTCCCGGAGACAAAACCCAACTTAGCGAGTCTCAGGCCCTCATTTTGTAAGACACGGAGGGTCTGGGAGGGTGAACTCTGCTTCGAGACGAGATGGCCAAACGGTGACTTCAAGCGCTGGGGCAGCTTCCGCTGGGCTAATATACGTTTGAGCGAGAAGCACAGACGCAAGGGTGTGGGACATCCCCATTATTTGATTTGTGCACGACCGCGAGGACCAATTATATGTACGCCAGGTTCAATGAATAGTGTTTATGTGCGAGAGAACGGATTTGTGCACGGGATGGATGGTTGTTCGGAGATACGTGACTGGGGAAGTATGATGGGGTTCGTTGCGGTATCGGGTGACATGTACGATTGACGTTTTTTCGCAGTCTTAGTCTAGTCCGAGAGAAAACGGAGTAAGTATGCATGATGGCTTCGCCGGAACCGAGTAAAACACAAATTTGCAACATGTACTACAGAAAACGTTGAATGCGGCCACGGTGGAGGTGTAGCCAGAATTGAAGTCAACGATGCATGGGGGCAAAACGCAAAGCGAAATTCGTGCAGCGAGGTATGTCCCGGGATGAAGATGATGGAGGGGATGGCAGGAATAGCATTCAATATCGATGTAGTCGTGTATTTGGACAGCGCACTCTAATACAAACCGTGGAATAATTGGTTCCCTAGTTGGCTCCCGAGCTCGCCCTCATCCTAGAATCATTTTTTTCCGTTTCTATTTTATGCGTGTACATATGGAAAGGTGTGGCCATGTTTCTTGAAAGGAACAATACGGGGGTGCGGAATGCACAGAAAAAATCGCACAGAGAGGCGCGATCTATGTAAGTGTATGTATGCAAGTATCGCCGAAGAGAGGACACAGACACGTGGCACCTGTCACCGTCACCTATCTCCCAGTGTTGCTTCTGTCCCATCACATTTCTTGCATTGCCCACTTGACCGATGTGTGGCAGTGCTCGGTGGTGTTATGCATGTTGATATTCCACGCCGTTTCTACGTGGATGCCCTCTTGGCTGCGTACAGTCGGGGTGATCCTGGCCGGCGAGAACCTGGCATTGGAGTATCGGCGTGGTACAGTAGTCGGGAATACGCGGTCTTGGTCGTCTGGAATGCGGCATACCGAAGTCGCCTATATCTTGATCTTGAGTCCCCAACATTTGTAGGCATGGTTTAGGAAATGGCATAAGCGGCCGTGCCTGGTGGCGAAGATTCCCGGTACAGGACGAAAGTCGTCGCGATCATTGTATCTTGCGTTTACAGAACAGTCGTATTGGTGCCGACGGGAGCAATGGGCTCTACCAGGTACCCATCTTACCGTTTGTGCAAACATGTTCCCTTACGACGCCGAGTTTCGGTGGGCGTATATCTTCTCTTAGTTTCGCGTGTGCATTGATTGTTATTCCTTCGACCACTTGTGGGTCCTTGCTTTTTTCCGGCCATCTCCTTGTTGGTCTCTCATTGTGGAGAGCATCCGCCTCCCGTGTAGGACGTGTCGCCTACTACGACGTCTGGCGTTTAATATGTTGCCTTGTCTCTGCTCTTTCTTCTGATGCTATTGTGGACGCACTAATTTCTAAATAGATATTTTTATTTTTGTTATAGTTCATCACTTTTGTATAGCCGGGGAAGAGGGACGCTTGAGTTTCGGGTAGACTAGTTCAGTACGCATCTTATAGGCCACTGGACAGAGATCAAAAGGTTTTTATTGTGAAGACAACAACAGCGATCAGGCTGGCCGATCGCTCTCCGGGCAGGCAATTTTCGATCACAGTAAGTGGCATGGCACGGCTTGAAAGGGTTGTTTGACGGGCACGTCGTTGTGACTATCAATCGTCCATTTCATCATTCTTTGCTGATCATCAAGCGCGATAAATGGATGTGACGGGATGGAACAAGTTTCGTTAACCATGCGTGACGTGCGCAGCGGTGCACTACCACACCGGAGTTGAGTCGGCCTACAAGGAGATAGGAAGAGAGCAACGAGAATCAATTGTTCACTATGTTAGGGTAGGGCGAGATGCCGGATGGAGGGAAGAGGTATTTTCAGATTTTTTCACCATTATCACAATTTTCATGGGCACCCCCTCTGATTCCTATTGCTGCTTGTTTCTGATATATCTGTGTGAGCGCAGTGCCATGCGCGCTTCTTTTCTCGTTTCGCTTGTCCTGTCCTGTCTTGTGCGTGATTTCACCAATAGCCTTTAGTCAACTCATGTACGTACGGCCGTCAGGCAACCCAACGCCACCGGAGAAAGCCGAGAATTTTCTATTGGGGAACAAGCACGGAAGGGCGCATGACTACACATTGCTAATCATCCAACGTGCGCGTAGAGGTAATCCCCTGCCACGCAAGCACTCCCTTGTGTGCACTTTGCACACCATGAGGCGCAGACTCGGGTATGGTATTCTCCATGGGGAGAACGTCGTTCCAGGCGCGCGACAACAGCTAGTTGTAACATCGGAATATCTTCGAAAGTATCGAGGGTCTGAATTATGGACTAAGGAGTGGCGTGAGAAGTTCGGTCACCGCCGACGCACACCAAATCCTGTTTGGCAGCTTAGCAACAGTGCTCGTTGTACCGCGTCGATGACCATGTCCTCGTGCATGTCGTCGTCGCTTCCTTTTCGGCAGAGCGGCGCCAAACCTATCCGTGAAAGGTTTTTCCCCGTCCGCTTCCCTCTCTACCAATATGGAGGAATTTTGTCACTGACGAGGTTCTACCAGGTTCATCCCCAACACGATTGTGAATCAGCCTCAAGGGAGACAACCCAATACGGCACGTATCATGCCCCCGCAACCCACCCCCTTCTCCCCCTCATCACATTTCCAAACTCAGCGTCTCCGGCGGGAGGACTAGCAACGATTATCTCCGGGAATAAGTTCGGTTCGGTCCTGGCCATGGCCTGCCGGGCCTCTGCCTCGACCGCTTCACGCTCCGCCCGCACTGCCTCCAGCCCCGATCTCGATCCCGCTCCTAACCCCGATGACAACGTAGACGTCCGCGACACCTGAGGTGCGGGAGTGCCTGTCCCAAGGGACAGATGATGCGATGCGGACGGCCATGGAGACGAGCTCGTAGACGACGGGGAGGAGACGCGGGGAACGACAGCCTGCTCGAGCCCGAACCGGAAAACGTCGCCACCTACCGGTGGCTTGTACCCCTTCGGCCACCAATCGGCTTCGTCGCCGGTTGCGGCATCACCCCGGTGGCCCGTCGAGGCGCTCTGAACCCTCCTTCGCCTGCGACTGGCCGCCCCGCAATCCCCAGGTGCCGAACTAGCGTGTGCTGGCTTACTGTAGGGCGTGCTTGCACTCCGTCGAATTGCCTTCGACGTCTCGGCACGGCCAACGGTGGAGGAATTGCCCGGGTGTCCCACATCCTCTGGTGCGCCTTCTGATGCTACCGATGTGATTCCTGGTAGTGATGTGTGCTGAATGCGTAGATCGCTCAGGCGAAGTTCGTTGCAATGAGTGAGATCGAGGCGCCGAACGGAATATCTGACGGGAGGACGGGCGGTCGGGGAGGGCGGAAAGCACGGAAGGCATAAGTCTAACGACACTGCGATAGACCCCGCGATAGCCCCCGCCTGCACTGAGAGTTTCATCCTCGTTCACACTTGTGATATTTTCGTATTGATCAAATTTCTCGGCCCCGTGGCCACTCCGGAAGGCATGGTGAACTTTGCCGTTTTTCCATTTGTTCCTGTCCCCAGAACGTTCCAACCGCAGAAGTACCAAGCCTAGCTTAAGCAGCAAGCGGATTATTTGACCGATACTATCGCCACCCCACCTGAACGGTCGGACGGTGACGCCCCCTCGGCTACTATCCTCCTCTCTTTCCTCCCGCATGATCACTTCTGCTTCCCCTTCGCTATTCGGGGTGGTCCACGGCCGTCTCATCTCCCTAGCACGCGCCCCCGAACCCAAAGCTCCCGCATCCTCGTCCCCTCCAGCGAGAGACGCGAGAAGCGGCACAGACATCCGTCTACGCCGTTGGCCGTACAGGTATCGCCCGTGAGTAGCCGCCACGGCAGCTTCGTTTGAAGCCACCGCCGCGTTGCCTCTGAGTTCTGCGCCGAAGGCAACCACTCGGCCTGCAGCATCGTCGACGACATCTTCATCACTGCTGCGGTCGAAACACGTTAGACCCACAGCTGGCACAGGAGCGCTATGGGATACGAGGGTGGAGACAGATACAGACGCTGGTCGCACAGTTGCCAAGAGGCCCGTCGGCCTGGCTCGGGCCATCCTGTCGTCGAGGACCGCAACCGGCGACGCGAGCGCCCGCTCTCGTTGCCGAAGAGCGGTAAGAGCAACGGGAGCCGCCCCGAGCAACCGCTGTTCGCCATCTGTTTGAAGTGCTCCTTCGTTGCACAAGTCGCGAGCAGAGGCACCGCTTCGCGGCGTCTCATCTCCTGCAGATGGGCTAGGAGTAACCGCGCTGGAAACCACGTGATGGCGAGCGTCACTTGCCGGAGAAGAGTCCTCCGCGGGCCCCGGTCGCAGTGAGTGTTGTTCGGAGCCGGAAGAGCTGTCCGGTCGCTGGTGCTGCTCAAGAAGCCCTTGGTCCTGCGGTTGTCTTCCCGAGATCGTTTCGTCAAGCTGAAGCGAGTTCCGATGGGATGCGTCCAGGGCGACTTCTGGGCTATCCACGACCCTATCCAGCAGGGCCGCCGCCCGCTGCTTTCGAAGGGTCTCTTCGGCCTCCAGCCGGGCCCCCACGAAGTCCTTCACAAGGCGCTGGTTGACGAAATTGTTCGGTGGCACCATCGTAAACGAAGGCGGAAACACGAAAGTGGAAACTAGCAGGATGAATGGCGTGGTTGTTCGGCGGTAGAAGGTCGTGGTGGGGCGCCGAAGCATCATTTGTGCTTTGGACAACCTTGCATTCATACAAGTAAACTTCTTTCTCTGTGTTGTTTCGGGAGACAGCAAGCACGTTCCCCTACAACCTCACACCGTAGAATCGGGAAACTGTAAGCAGGGAGAGCTGTAACAGGTCAGGGTGGTGAGACGAGTACGGCCGTGTTTCAGTCGTTTGTCAGGACATATTGTGAACCGGGTGGCATTAACCTCGAACTTCGGCGACCTTACGTGCGGGTCCATGTTAGACATGACGGCCAAGTTGTCCACAATTGCTGTCGCCGTTCGCATGTGTGTCGATATCTCATCGGCTGGGGACGCAGCCGAAACTCTGAGCCGAAACCTCGACGGGTTGCCTCTGGACACGATACCGACGAAGTACTCTCCTGGGCCGTAGCTGTAAATAGCGGCGGGAGAGGCCATGCACGAGTTCGAAGCAAAACACGGTGGAATTCAAGCCAGGAAGAACACACCGAAACAGCAAAGTGAAACGAACACTACTCACAGCGATCGTTTCCCGTGCCAACCTAATAAGTGCAGGGGGCGTAAGCCCTTATCGCGGATGCCAAAGCCGTAAAGCACGTGGTGGAAACTGTTTCTTCCTCTTAGCCACGGAAACTCGGTGAAATACATTTTTCTACCACTTTTGCCGAAAGACCCTTTCACTAGTTTTCACTCTCCTGGAGTGATACCCCGTGGCCTTCCCCCAAACATTCCCCCAGAACTCCACATCATGGGCGTCTCTTCGGCTGTAGCTCATTATCCATGCACGTCGCCTCACGCTGGGTACATGACCTGACCGGCTGGGCTACCCCCAGCGCACTCCGTGCGAGCTACGTAGAGAAACGCGAGGGCACAGTCTGGCAAATACACTACCCTATATGATGCGCCATCAAACTCACTTAGTATCCCGCGGAAAGATCTTCACGACGTGCAGATCCCGTTGTGTGGACGAGGACTTCCACCCACTAACGTCGCTGCCATCCCGTGCTGCCTCGTCTTGCCCCAACGACGGCAGGACTCCTCGTGTCACCATAATTTCCGGGTCACCGTCGGCCACCTCGAGTACGACGGTAACGATTACGCCGGTGGACGGGAGGTCGAAACGGAAGAAAGCCCTGGATTCGGGACCAACACCGGTAGTTCCCCGCACCGTTCTCCCCAGCTTGACTGGCCGTATCTTCATCTCCGCTCCTGTTCCGGCTGCTGCTCTTTGTTCGTAGCGATGAGAAGGGGGTGCCATAGGTGGAGGGTACGCACCGTTTATGCTTTCGGCTGCTCCTGCTGCTGCTACTACTCCCGATGGGTCCCTCGTGTTCTCGGCCTTGCGTGCTGTTGAACGCTGCTGTTGTTCACCTCGAACAATATCGGACCCACCGCCGCTGCCATGCCCTCCTTGGGCCACAAACTCGGGTGCATTCCCAGGGGTTTGGAGTCTTTGGGAAGGGTTGAGCACAGCCGTAATATTTTCGCTAGACGAGGTGACAGCGCGCGTTCTACCTTCGTCCGAGCCACCTCCGTTAACGTCACAGGCTCCGTTTCCTCCCCGCGTGCCGCTGGAGGCTTCAAGCGCGACCCCTTGCTTGATGATAGCGTCTGCCTGCGCAACGAGGGCCGCCTTGACCATGTTCATGTACTCGGGCCAAGCCACCCTTTCGCTCAATACCATCGGGAAAAACGCATCAGGGTTGTTCTTGCCAGAGCCGGTTGAGTCCTGGAACAGGCAACTGTTCAAACGTGGGGAGGGGCGTGGGCCAGGACGAACGTATGTCCTTCAAGTTGGTCGGAGGCTGCACCAGTGATCGGCGACCCAATATTTTCGCCGGGCATTCACCACGTTGTACATTGAGGAGATGCGATGCGCCCTTCGCGATTGAAGGTGAGTCACGCAATCATGTTTCTCCCGGCACAGATTCATCACCCCTTCTGACGCCAAACGTGTCGATTCGGCTTGTTGGGATACCCGTCGGACTTCGACGTGCATACCGAACAAAGCCGTATCTCTCGCGAAACCTTTCAGATCTTCATACTCGGCCTACCGTCGACTTGCTTGCCGCCAGAAATGATTATCGGGGTCATTAACGGACGATACAATGTAGGGCTAATGTGTGCGCTCCGTTACCTGAGATCGTCCGGGCGGGAGGCCGCGAAGATCCCCTCCATCCAACGCCTTTCACGCTCAAGGAGACCCTCGGCGTCAAGGCACGTTTCGTCTTCCCCGTCAGAGGTTCCCTGGTTCAGAAACAACATGTCCTCCTTGTTCGTTGGTTGCTTTTTGGCACCTCCTCACTAATATATAACTTCCCATTTTGTTTTCAAGATGACAGCTTTTGCTATATACCATATGGCTGCCTGCTAGCGTACACCGCACGATGGTACTGTGTATGTGGCACGTTTTCAACTCAAGAAGAAGGTCCCGCGCCCACAAGAGCGTCTCCGTCCCAGCTCGACCCTCATCTTTTGTGAAGACGCACCCCGTTTCCCCGCCAGTGTGCATGGAGATAGAACGCGGGAGGTGGTCGTGGCCAGGCATGTAGAGTGCTCTTCGATATTACACCAGAAGCAACGGCAAAAAACCGTTGGGATTCACCCGGATTTGATTGGGTTCTCTGGTTGCTCGGAACGTATTACTACGCGACTGGAACTCTCTATCCCGACCACGTGAAGTTTCTCTGTGTATTCAAGGTCGCGCTTGGAACCATCAGCCCCCGCCATGGTCAAGGCCTCCTTCTTCTTCAAAACCTGACGTAGCACAGTGCTCCGCGGTGAACCAAAATCCGTGGACGAATGTCCCGCTCACCTCTTCTTGTCCTTCAGTTCCGCCTTCAGCGCTCGTGCCAGCAGCGTCGGGCAGAGTGGTGCCATCTCCCCTGCCTCCTCCCCGTCCGCCGATACCCCCACCTTCCCCTTGGAAAACGTCTCTCGGATCGAAGGTGTATCCGCCGCTTCCATCGACATAGCACTCCTGCTGGACGAGCCGCCCGGCGAAATCTGTTTGAGCCGTGCACTCCATCTCCCATCTGTTTTCATGTGGCGTTGGGGGTAGGTTGCGAGCATTGAAGAGAAACGTATGCTCTCGAGGTTCCAAATCGACATCCAGGGGGAACATGAAGTACGCCCGGAACACCGTAAGGGAACCTACCTACCACGGTGAAGAGAGCATGAGCATGTCACTCAGACACGCACGTTGCTATGGACCGCAAAAGCAAAGCCGCAACGTATTTCATTCCCCAACTACCCCTCCCGTTTTTTCACGCATTTTGTCTTCTTTTTTTTTTTTCCTGAACGCACGCGCTGGGCACTCCGAGTACCGGTGCCTGAGGGTACGAACACGCCTTGCTCGTAAAGCCTGCGGAAGCCGGTTTCATGGAGAACTCAGCGTGGAATCAGTGGGACAATGCGATGAGATATTCATGTTCCCACGCCCGTCGTGCTAACGCCGTGTTTGATTCCGTGCTGAAGAGCAAAAACTCTACTACTGTATATCGTGTGTTGTAGGCATCCTTTGGTGATGAGCTCTTTGCTTGCGTCGGCGCAGATCGCTCACAGTCTGATGTCCACCGGGTTGCCATGTTCGTCCCGAACAACCCGCGAGCGCGCTCGCTTCTTCTTCTTCTTCACCTCCTGAAGCTCGACCTGTTGTCAATTTGGAAATGATCATGTTCCGTTTGCCCAGGTGGGTACACGACCAAGTGTGAGAACATCTGGGAGTTTCAAAATGAAGATAGGTGTTGGTGGTATTCCACGACTTTGCCTGGTTCCTCTGTTTCGGCCGTTGCTCCTACACGACAAACTTGCGCCGAGTGAGGATTTTTCTGAACCGGTTGACGAGATGGTGGACCCCAGCTGGATGTCTACCGAAATATCGCTGACGTGTGACAGACAGCGTTTTGTGCTACTATTCTTTGAAACCGGCGCCTTTCTTTCGATATGCCCAACAGAGCGGGATAAAAGGAAACCGAACAGGCCTGTTCGCTTTCACACCACTGGCATTGAGGAAATATCTTTTCGGAGATAGGAAATATTCAGCAAGCGCCCACCTCGCGAAGGAATCACCTCACACTACTTCGTTTTTCTTGCAACTAGTTGAACCCTTGCTGTACCCGACCTTGACGACGGCATCCTCCATCTGCCAGCGTTCGTTCCACAGTGCGGACTCTTCGTCCGCTTTGCTCATCAGCAGGCAGGCATGCTTTCGTTTCGCATCTTGGGCGACCCTTTCCAGCTCCTCCGCCTCCCGAACTGCTTCTGCCTCTCTCTCTAGCTTTGCCTCCTCCTGTGCTATGGCGACGTTTGCCCTGAGTACAATGTCTGTTGCATACGCCAGCAATCGGGGAACAGGTGGTCTTCACCAACACCAATGACAGCAACAAAAACCAACGACGCCACAAACGTCGTCAACAAGCAGGGACCATAGGAAAGTATGGACAGAAACGCTTGTTTGCAAGGGGTGCTCACCGATGTCTTCGTCGTGCTGTGTCATCCTCTGTTGCTCCCCAGCCTCTCGTGCTCGCTCCCTCTCCACTGCTGCTCTCTTGAGCGCTTCTTCAGCTTCCGCGAGGCGTTCGTCCTCCTCCCTTTTCAGCTTTTCCTCTTCTTCTTTGGCCAACCTGCAGTCAATTCCCAAGAGGATATCGCATCACATCGATGTGCTTCCACACCCTCAATAATTATCATGTTACCATGCAATCGTTATTCCGGCCTGAACCTCACTTTGGTGCTTCGTGCGGTTCCACGTGATGAAACGTGCGTGATCGCCGGCCCTGCAGTGCAACCGCAAACTCGCTTTGGTCGTTTTTGTTCGGCGAGCAACGAGAAGCTGTGGGGAGAAAGGAAGCGCACAGGTGAGTGCACCACTTCCACGAGTGAGAGAACTCCCCAGCGACAACGAATGAAAGAATCAGTGCTAGAACTCACCTGGCATCCTCCTCTCTGGCAACTCGCTCTTCCTCGGCCTTCCTGGCAGCCTCTTGCTGACGGCGGACTTCGTTCGCCTCGCGACGGGCTTGGTCCGCAGCCTGCCGCTCTGCCTCCTTTTTCAATCGTTCCTCCTTCAACAACGGAGCATCAGGCATTCACAAAGCGTAGATGCAGGGAAAGAAAACTGTCGTCACGTACCACGCCACTACCCAAATGGGTAAAGCGTGAAAGCGCCGCTATCGATATCCTATGCAAACTAGCCAACACGGAAAGTACTTGGTGCACATTTGTCTGCAGAAACGTGCCGGGAAACGTGGCAGAAGTGGAGGCGCGCCTACATTCAGTGGCCTCGAGGTATAAACCCCCGGAAAAGCATAAATACCGCTGCGCCTAGAAAGTCAACCATGTAGAGATTCCTCCGATTTTGGACCTTCCCTCCTTGGGTTTGTTTGAAATTGTTCTGTTGCTTTCTTGGAAAAGTTGAATAAACACGTGCGTATTTTCTCTTCCTGGAATACCACCTTGCCGTTCTGCCTCACTCGGGCATGAAGAAACTGACAACGGCATTTTACAACATGCCCTGCACCTTTCTAGCCCATTCACCTCGAGCCGGCGGTTCTTCTCTTCTAGATCGGCTCGTTTTTTTGCTAAAGCCTTCCTCCTCTCCTCCAGCTCCCTCCTCTGTCGCTCCTCGAGCTCTTGCTTTGCCTTCTCCTGCGCTATCCTTTCTGCGTCCTCTTCCGCCTTCCGTAGTCTCTTGCGTTCCTCTTCTTCGGCAATTAGACGCTTCATCGCATCCCCGGAAGCTCGGCGTTTCGCCGCCTTGAAAACGTTGTTTTTGCAGGGCGTTCGGAAGTATCGACTTTAATGAAGCAAGCGAAATAGCAGTCACGAAGAGTCGGAATGATCGTACATACTAATCATGGCATACAACGAACACGATGGGCAACAGCAGCGTCGACCAGGGAAAAAGCGCCAACAAGACCACCAACAACACAGCGACACCAACAACACAGCGACAAGAGTACCAAGAACGACACACATCCAACCAGCCCACCTGTTCGGCCATCATGGCCTCGATCATCCTCTGCTGGGAGGCCTTCTTCGCGTCCACCCCACTCCCGCCCTGCCCGTCGTCGTCGCTATCATCATCACTGTCGCCCGTGGTTTCCGGGCCCCTCCTGCCCCTGCCCCTTTCCCGCCCACGTCTACCAGCCGACCCCCTCCTCCCTCTCCCGCGCGCCCTTCTCGTCTGTCCAGCCGCTCTGGGAGGTGGTGCCTTACCCGCCGGAGGCTCTCCGTCGACATTTGGCGCTTTGGAGTCGGACGGGTCCTGTTCGTTGACGGTACCGCTCGCGGTTGCTTCCTTGGTAGCCGGAGAGGTGTTTCCTGGTTCGGCACTAGCGGCTGTCAGCGGTCGCGTTGGTGACTCTCGGGAACGGGGGGGCGTGAACCCAGGGGATTGAAGGCGGCGGCCGACGCCTCCGCCGCGGGTGTGGGGAGGGCTCCTAGATGCCTTAGGACTCACGACCCTGGAATGGCGGCGAGCGACGAGGTAGGGGGTGCGGAAAGATCTAATCGGTAGTGGTGCTAACCCTCACGCGACAGCGGCGTGAGTGTTTGCCAACTGCCGTAGACCACTGTACTGTATCCCGCTGGACCCCCGTACTTCTATAAGTTCCGGGAATTACTGTTTTTTTTTGGGGGGGGGCAAGATGATATATCTCGGAGGACAACAACTGCCTCATCGAAACATTGCTGACCTGCTTGGAAACAACAGACGACTTCGCACCACGAATTGGTGTCGTGAGAGGCGCAAACCCTCGGAAGCATTGTTAATAGGCATCATATGCGGTGGTAAACGAGACACTTTGAAGAACACATGCGGAGGACGATGTGGATCCGTGGTCCATTAGTCGGGTACTCTGCTCTAGGAAAATTCGCACTCCCCTGAACGTTTATATGCAGCCTACATGTCTAGACGCTGCTTGCTGCGAGTTATGTGACCCGCACGCTCACCTCTTCCCGGTGGCAGTCCCAGCAAGCACAAACCCTCTTCGCCCTTCAATTGATAGATTGTCGTCGACGGCTGATGCTAAGAGTGCCGCCTCTATGTCTCCTGCCGCGGGCGGCTCGGAACTCGCTGCGCCAACATCGGTGCCTGTGGAAACAACGCGTTGTGCTCATTGGCAATATAGTCACCTCTTCAGGAGCCGAGTGAAATTTGGATGAGACATTTTCTGTCTTTCAGTGGTATTGGCACGAGGAGTGCACTGCCCGGTCAGTCTCGCCATGCATAAGGCTTCCTTCCCCTCTCCCTTAACCTTGATGTTTGGGGCAACTCTCCAGATGAGTGTGGTTGTGCCACTCTCTGGTTCACCAAAAGGTCAGTTTCGGGAATGAAGAACGTGACCCCGGTTCGGCAGGAAGCGGCGTGTGAACGACGTGTCTGCCTGTCGTGAAACTTCCAGCAGTACCCTTTCAAAAAATGAGCTCTGCATCCTTCCTTCTCACTTTTCCTTCTTTGCCGCTGCCCAGTCCAAGATTCCCGGTCTTCCGCAGCAGCCATGTGCGCTTCCTCTCCTCCCCGCCCTCCGCCCCCCCCGGGACCTGGGGTGTACCTTCCTGCCGTATCATGGCGCCTCTCTCTGCTCTGGGAACTCCCTTCGCGTAGCGTCGCCTCCTGCCATTTGGCGCAAAAAAAGAGTGCCAGCGGCATCCGGTTATCATGGCCCGCACAACCACCGTAGACGGTTGTTCTGTTGGTGTGGTGGGTAGTGAATGGTGTTGAAGAAGGTGGTCTTGGTGCTGCAGGTGCTGTCAGTGTCGGTCACCATGTCGGGGTTGCCGGTGCTTGATGACTATGCTGATGTCCATAGGAAGTAAGCTCTCATACTATGCGCCCAGTGTGAAGGCCATGATCAGCGACAAAACTGACGGTGTCTTTCTCGGCATGATGCTAAGATTTTGACAACCTTGAGCACTCTAGCATGACAACCACACGCACTTTCTGCATAGCCTACCTCCCCGAGGTCATATCGCCGTAATCGAGGTTGCGCGAGCAACAAAGGAGCATCAGTAGCTGCTGTGGTTTCATTGAAGAGTACATGTACCTTGACCGTTGTTTCCAGGCTGGGCAGAGACCCGCGAACAGGCACGAGGTCGCGGTCAACACACCGCAACCGGGCGCAATGACCGCCGCAAAAATCTTCGAGTCTCGACTTTAGTTTTTACCTTCAGACTTTGAGGAAAGTGTAGCTCGAGAGGCCCCCCTGTTCCTCCTCCGGCGTCTCGGTGCCGATTTCTGTTCTTGTCTTTCCTGCCCCTCGAACCCAGATCTTGCTGCCGCTCAGCGTGAACGGCCGAATCGGCCGCTGCTTTCTTTGCCTTGACGCTAGCGATGGAAGAGTACAGCTGGGCAGCCATCGAGGCTGAGTCGACCGCCTCACGGAAGATAGGCATAGGCGGGGGGGCGTTGAGCCGCCTCCCGCGGGGCACCCGGTAGGCGTGTTTGCTCTTCACGGGGTCTAGGAAAGGACACCTTTTGGTGAAGTCGTGGGTCGCAAGGAGCAGGAACAGAGGAAAGAACATAGGGTTGTCCATTCGTGTTTTAAAGTTTGTGCGGGGGGGCGCTCCCGTCGAATCAAGCACCAGTATCACTTCATGCACCCATGGGTTCTGTCCAGGATCAAGATTGTTTCAACAAATGTTGTTGAGGAAGATCAAATCACTAAATCCTGTAGTGTGCGGGTGGAGTCACCAGCTCGGGGTCGGTATCGAGTTGAGGGGACGGCGTGTTGATTGTGCATGGAACGCACCGCCCCTGTGTCATCGGCTTCCTTCCACCTGATAAACCATCCCTATGCCCACTATGACCATTCCATTCGTAAGAGCGTGGAGGAGGAAGAGACGTACCTGACGTAGAGGGATGTCATTGTTCTCTTTTCCCTCCGCTTCTTCCTCCTACCAACGCCTGTGGACTGCTGCCCCCGCTCCGTGCCCACGTTATCTCTCCCACCCCCCTGCTGCTCAGGAGACGGCGGTTGTGGAGATGGGGGTTCCAGCGTCCCGCAGTCGAGGTTGTAGAGCAATACGCCTCCGGACATCGAGTCCTCATCGAATCGGGACGGGTGCGCCTGCTGGGACGGATATCTGTCTTGGTCGTAGCCGGAATGCGGAGCATCTTCTGACCAATCAACCCCCCGGTTGTTTTTCCTGCTGTGATCACCGCCGTTACCCTCGTCGCCCGGAACATCTGACACGTACAGCAGACAAGAAGATAGAACACCTGGTGGAAATCCAAATTTCTCGTTTGAAAGGCGCAAACTTGTACCCTTGTCTGTTGTGTCGATGGTGGTTAGGCCGCTTCACGAAACGAGCTCATAGTTAAGGTTAACAGACGTTCGCCACTCAAAAAAGCTGATTCGGCGGTAACAAGAGCTCTTTTGCGACGGTCCGTAGCAAGGAAATTGGGATCTCGGTGCTGTGCTAAGTCCCGCGAAGTAAGACATTTCTAACCTAGTGCAGATTAACGATCGGAAGTGCCTCACGTGTTTACTCTTTGCGGACTATGTCTTGAACACCAGATCGGACAGTGGACTTGAGCGTGAGGGTCTAAGAAATGAAATTAATATGCTATGAATTGGTCAGAGTTGTGATGATGCGTGCATTCCGTGCAGTACCTCGAGTTTCTTCGCCGGGCCCGGTGAAACCGTTTAGACCTCTGTCGACAGGAGTTTCGGGGATGATCGCGATTCCCTCTGTCATGCCAGGGTCCGAGAATTCCCTACTCGTCTGTTGGTGTGGTTGTTCCTCTTCCTGCTGCTGTTGCTGCTGCTCTTCCTGATTTTTCAAACGCTGCTCTTCCTCCACACCGTTGCACTTTTTTTCCGGGATGCCGTCCACATCCACGTATCCCCCGCCGCCAGTGGTGGCGATCGAGTGACAGTCATTATCGTATTTTGTTGCTCCCTTCTTCTTTTCGCCGTCCGATGTGAACCCGGCCGGTTCTATACTGCCGCCGCTGCTGTTGAAAACCTCACCAGCGGCAAATTCACTCGGGCGCAGTGTCTTGCCACCCCCTTTGTCCTTCAGCAACTGATGACCAATCCTATCACCTTCATCCCGTATAACCGATATGTCATTTTCCGCCTCTTGGCGGCCTTCTCTGCCCCCCCCCCGCCCGTCGGCGCCGCCGCCACCGTCCCATGACCCCTCCCCGGCAAGCGGCTGCGACGAAAATTGCAACTGTATCTGAGCCCGGGAGTGGTGTGGTGATCTGGTTGGGTTCCCTTCTTCGAGAATTCCTCCGCCTCCGACACATGCAGGGCCGTCGGCAACAACGCCCCCGCCACCAACTCGAACACCTTCGCTTTCCAGACCCAACTCCCCAAGGACCTCAGCGGCCCCACACACTCCCACCCCTTCACCTCCATGAATCCCCAGCGGGTTCAATGCCAGGGTTACTGCAGCGGTTGGCAGGGTCGTCCCAGATGGCCCAGCAGCGCGAGGAGGGCGTGACACGGTAAGGGATCCTGGTCCCCAGCCGGCCCGAGGCCACTCGACTGGTCCCTTTACTGGCTTGGCTGTAGCAGGGGCGGTTTTGGTGGCTGTAGAAGGGCGGGGACGACGGGCTGATGTCCCCGCCGTCACGGTATGGGAAGAGGCAGCACCACCTTGCGGTTCGGGAAAGTGGTGTTTGTTGCGAGAGAAGACACAAATAGGTATTTCATCAGCGTTAGGGCTTGCAAGGCACCCAACCAACGGCTCGAAAATGGCGAATATCGGCAGTGGTTCCCTGTCTTTTTGCGCGATACAAACCTTTAGGTTTGTGAAAAGGTGTATGTGAGAGTGAGGTTAACCTCCAAAGCAAACTTGAGAAACAAATCGCGTGAAGACCACGCATGCACTGTGGTATTTTCATCGGGTGTCTACTCACCGTTGATGGCCGTGCGCAAGAGGCCAAGCACAGGCGTCGAACTTCCCCTGGCCATCGTTGAGACGTGAGAACTGGCGCACCCTCCTCCCTCTTGTTTAAAAGCGTCTCTCCCGCTGTGATCCAACGTTGACCCCGAGGGCTGCCCTTTGCTTGACAGCGCCCTGACTCCTACTGGCCAGTCTTCCCGTTCGCCGCCCCCCCCGCTCGATCGCTCGCTGTTTGTGGGTAGGCGTAACACGAATAGCCCGACCGTTAGAATAATAGTCTGTCTGTTGCTGAAAGTAACCGAAGTTTGACCATGGCCCTTATGAAATGAAGCGACTAGAAATTGGGGCTGCTGTGTACGGTGGATGCTAACGCGCATTCACACAATATCGCTTGAGTGCTCAGATGTTTTTTCGAACGAAGGTTTGGCTGAGGCGTGTGGCGTACGACCACGAAGAGGGTCCTAAATCTGCTCCCCCGTTGCTCTTCCCCGGTGTACGGCGCGATCATGCAGTCGGTTGCGGTATACGAGGAAGGTCGCGACATTTCGACGGGCATGGTGTGTCTCAGCATTGCTTGCAAGATGTTTCCGAGCCCACCACGTCCGACTGGGAAAATTCCACGGCAATGACACGGCGCGAGACCAAAGTTGTGCCATTTTATATTTTTTTACAACAAGGCGGCATCAGTGTTCTACACATGCGGTCCGCATTCAACACCTGTTATTTTGGCCGAGGATCGTTTCTTATTGTATCTGTTTCCCCGACGGGAACTATATAGATGTTGGTGGAAGCTTCTTGACTGAGCATCTGTTCTTATTACCAAATTCTTTGATTTACCTTTTTCTTGAACCTGAATCCCTTACATTAACTCCCAAGTCACTAAGTGCGGGCCGTTATGTACCTGATGCAGTGTTTGGGAGAGGCGTCCCCAATCCCGGCGGTCTCCAAGTACTCGAGGAGGGCTTGCCAATGCTCGGTGTCTGCCCCGCGTAGCTGCATCTCACAGATGGATGGCAACTCCGTGAAAGGAACAATCTGGAAGTTGGTTGCGGGCGACGATTAATTCAGAATACAGAATCTGTTTGCGGGGTGATGGAAAGAATTAGGCGAGCCGCCGCCTTCGCAGAAAGGAGCGACCTTCCGAACATGCTAAGATTCTTTGGGTTGAAGTCTGCATGGGTCCTACCGTCCACGTCGATCGATACCTTGCCTGCCGCTCTTGAACACGGAAAAATCCAGAATCGTACATAGTAGTGTCGATCCACCCGCTTGGCAATAAAATATACGAAGTATTTTTTGGTATGCTTGCGTCGACGAGACGCCAATGAATACAGCATGGACTACAGGGCTTGACCCACGTACTGAAATGGTAGAGAAGTCCGCATGACGACATTCCTGAAAATATTAGCGCAACGTGCATCACGTCTACATATGTCAGGAAGCGAGACAAGACAGAAAAGGCTACATATGTGAAGCAGACACAGGCACCGGAACTCTTAGGTTTCGGTCTACGAGGAGGATGCGCAATACCAGCCACCGTTCAACACACTCAGAGGAAGTAGCCGATACAAAAGTCCAACTAGATCAGGTGAAGACTGGAGATATCCAGGATGAAAATACCTTGCCGGTTCGAAAGACAGCGTGGTAGAGAGTTATCCACACGTCCAGGTAGCACGCCTGACCGTCGAAAACGTCCATGAAACGTCGGACCAGCGCTCGTGCCGCGTCGTTCTCCGGAGATGTCAAGCGAGGGTCGATGAACTCTGCGGCGCTTTCTGCAGGTCGATGGCACGAAATATTTCATAGCCCCAGTAAGAACGAGTGACAAATGGGGTCATCAAAGATTTAGCTCCACACGGGCAACTCTTGATCTCGAAGTTGTCCCTGTGTGTAGCAAAATGTAACATTCGAACAAAATTTGCTTGCTGTAGCGCGATATCCCGGCAGGGCGCGCCATGGCGTGGTTCGTTGGCCCCCGTACCCATTTGGTTCGAGGAATAACGAGCAAGGTCGTCTACAATGGGGCGATATTATCTCTGTCCAGGTCAAATGTTTTATCTATTTCTCATTTCGTGTCTTTGGAGCCGGGGGCATCAGATGGTACCAGACCCATTTGAGAACCCCCCCCCTTGGCACCACTGCAGGTTGTTCCATGTCTCCGCATGTTCGAACTTTGACAACATTCGATGGATGTAATGACAGACCAAGGCGGGCTCGCCCCCGCGCGCTCTACCGTTTCACTCCGCCACGTATCCACAGCCGGACGGCACAGCAGATGGCTGACTGTATCGTTCTACCGCTGCCTACGGTGTTGCCAACCATGCAGGCAAACCCCCACCCCCTACATCCCCTCACCTTCGGGTATGAGGACGAAGCCGATATCGCTCCTCACCGAGGTACCCAAACCGGGCCACAATCCCCCGTGACCCTCACACAAGACTCTTCGGAAGTCAGCGGCGGGAAGCGTTCCTAGTTGAAGGCATTCCAAGGGAAGGGCGCAGGGGGAAAGGAGGTGTCATACTGAGGTTGGCATGATGGCAGGCGCAGTCTTCAGAACAAAGGTCGCTCTCATCCGTACGAACGAGCACTTGGGTTTTCCACCAGTCAGGCAAGCGTTGTACCCTTGTGCCCGACGCAGCATACTTTGGTCGGTACGTCACGTTTTCTCGCACCCTTTGGCGAGATAGCGACGGAGGGCGTGCGTAGGATTGATACTTGCAGGCAGGCGTCGCGCGGTGGGCAATCTGTGGAGGGATGCGCAATTTCATCCGTGGCATCGGGGTCGTGCGCATTCTACGAGTCATACCCCATAGACCCCAAACCATGTTTGAGGCGAACATGAACGCCAGGATTACTGCACCGGCCAAGGAGGCCGTGTGGATCATGCCAAACGCGAGACGAGGAATGATGTTGAATTCATCTCCGCTTGCCTGCTTTTATTGCATGGTGTGTGTCAACCGATCAGAGATATGCACGGGCATGCTCAAACGGCCTTCAAGCACACCGATGGACCGACACAAACGTCTGATGTTCACCTGTGCGCTGTGTGTCTTCGAGAATGAAGTTGTCGAGCAACGGCTTTAGTCGCTGTAGAACTTTTCCACCTTCTCCGAGCTCGTTTTCTCGGTTTCGGAACCTGAAAACCAAGCGCATCAAACACCCGTGCATCGGGTAGAAGAGGACCGCTTGGATCCAACATCTCGGGTCGAGGCACCCATGAACGAACACGTTTGATGCGGACAAGCTCTCTGGAACTTTCAAACTTCGAGAGAGGTGCGGTGCGTTAGGAATCGGAATATAAATATGTTGTACGCAGCCTAGAAACTGAATATTTAGGGCACATTCGACTCTTTTTCGTGGCCAGCCTGTCCCCCTTTGCCGTCCTCAGCGTTCTCTCCAGTTGTGATCCACCCGCCGTGGCAAGGTCAGGGAGGTTGAAGTTCCTCGGTCCTTCTACAGCGGTGAACCGTCGTTGAAACGACGGTGCGACGAGTGACAGGTAATTTTGTGGCATGAATTTCGCTGAACTCGTGATAATAAACTGCAGACATGCACGAGATTTCTTGGAGATTGTGTTACGCGTGGTACGGGGAAAGAGGTTGCAGAACACTTAAACTTTGTCCGAAAGATAGTGGGAACTCGTGCTGGCTGGGATATAGCTCATCGACCCAAATCGCGCACCTTGTCCCCTTCGCCCCACCGCCATCTTGTTCTTCCGTATCGGGTGGGTTGTTGTTGCTAGCCGGGAAGTTCTTGCTGCTGCTGCTGTTGTTGTTGCTGCTGTGGTCTTCGTCGTCGTCATCGTTGTTTTGGTTGGGAACAACAGGTTCACCCTCTGCGTGGGCATCGCCGGCCTGGTTTCCACGAAAGTCCCCGCTGCCAACCCCTTTGATGCCTCTGCCGCTGTTGTCGCCCGAAGACGCAATTCTCGTTCGATAATATTCTCCAGAAGCCGGAGCGGCGAGAAGAGAGGGTGGACTCTTCGAGACTGTGTCGAGAAGGGACTCTAGACTTCGCTCCGTGGTGGTTTTCCTTCCAACCTGAGCGGCGTCTTGTTCGTGCTCTGTCGCTGCTGCTGAGGCCCCGGCGTTGATGTCCCGGGCTTTGGCGAGCAAAAAAGAGTGTCCCGCCATGGCTCTCCGCCCGAACAGCCCATCGTTGGTTGTACTAGCGAGTTTCTGGGTGGGGGTATCGTGGTTTGTGTGATGTCAAGATGGCACGGAAGCACAAACGAAATCCTCATCCCCATTACAGATCATCGCCTGTGCCCTCCACTGCAACAGTGAGACGAAAATGTGGCCCAAACGTGCTGCAATACCATAATTCTTGCCCCCCGGAACGTTACGCTGTACTCTACATTTCACGGACGCGGTAGGGGGAAATGCCATTTATGTCGAACTCATTAGTTCCGAAAAGAAACGAGGTGAATCCCTCATGAACGTGTAGGTATTGGTCGGTTTGGGTGTTGGGGGTGTCGAAAAAGCGACCATTCACAAACGAAGGTTGTCCAAGGGCCTCCCACGTCGTCTTGGCTTCGTCGTTGCAAAAGTTCTCTTCTCACCGCAACCCGAGACGCGCCTTCGAAGCTCCGGTGTGTTGGCTCAAGGTAGAAACACAAAATTCAACATTGGTCGGAGCCGGGCCGTAGCTACGAAATAGAGTAGGTTGGAGCGAGGTTACGCTAGGGTGGGGGTCTTACAGGTTTGCTTGGACCGGAATACGAGCGGGAAGAAAGGTCAACTGCAAGGACGATTTTCTCGCCCATCGTATCCGTACCATTCTAGACTCAGGCACTCTACAACGGGCTGGGGGGGAAATCCAAAGAGTGAAAGGCAACAACCCAACAGCAAGCGCTGCACCGCTCCCAATGCTGCAGCCCAACCTCGTAATATCGTGATTTGTTACGACCACACAGTGAGCACGTGGCGTACGATCGAAATGCTCACCCGCGCACAGAGCACGACCAGCAGAAAAGCTTCAAGAAAAGCTTCGCCGTCAACGAACTCCGACCACGGCTGCTGCCCACGCCGACCAGCCCAACGGCGAACACCGGGCCCGCTAGGTGTCACCGTGGGGAGTTCCAATACAGCCTGCTCGCGTGCAACACGCGACGTAGGAGGGTGTACGGCTGGGTACACCAATTGTCTGTTGGTCGGAAGACACCACCACCGCACCCCGATGTGCTGACACCACCGCTGCGATTTTCCATTTTGTATTTGGCACAATGACTTACACCCACTAGAATCTCCATGAAGTACAGCATCCTTGCTAGTTCCCCGCGTCGATTTCGCCGGATGTTGAACTTACCCACAGGCTGTTATGCGTAGTTGGTCTACTGAAGCGTGTTCTAGTGCTCAGATCTCCTGCCGAGTACCTACAATTCTTTTGTTCTAAGTTTCAGACCCTTCTGCCCAGTGTACGAGTGAAAAAAGAACATTGATTAATATTCTATACTCCTTGATCCTTGATTATCCTACACGAACACTAGCCAGAACTGACACCGCGCTGCTCTCGAAGGCTGTACCTGTTCGGCCGCTCCCATGATCTGGTGCCCGGCTCCCCAACCGGGCGTCAGCAGAGCCGATGCGCACATGGCAGCGTGCGTACGAGCGACGATGGTCGTTCTCCAGCCGATTCCGAAACCGCTATCCCTCATAGTTTTCCCGTTCTCACCGACCCCGGCCCACGGGCCGTCCGTAGTCATGAAGCCCCTCGTGATGAGCCAATGTCTAGCCGCTGTGACCAAGTTCACGAGCTGGGGTTCCAGTCCAAGATTAGCGTCTTCCGATGGGGTCTGCGATGGCCAGCGACCTCCTCAAGCGGAGCCAGTGCCAAAAGAACACATTTCACGTGGGGGTCAGATTGTTGCAACGGGTGAGATAGAGAGCGGGGCGAAAGGTTCCCTCGACGGGATTCTCTTGGAAATGCCTCCAAGTTCACCAATACAGCGGACGAATACCACGGATATGCGGATACGCGTGCGGACTTTTTCTGGCTCCTTCCGATGTTGGAGTAAAGGCTTACCTTCCCCGCTTGCGCCCGCCGGCGCTCCTACCATCCTGGCGAAGAGGCGCAGCACCGGCGACGCCGGACCGTGCTCGAGGACTGCCCCCAGCAGCCCCGCCACCCTCTCCTCCGCGGTGCGCTGCAACCCGTAGCGCCTCCGAAAGTCTCTGTACAGGGCAACGCCGAGGGTTTCTACCCTCGACGCAGGACAGCATGATGTGTCCTCCTCAAGGTCGAAGCAGGCGGATGCATCGCACTTTTCTCCGCGACTGTTTTCGCTGTAGATGCCGTCATCGACGACGATCGCGTGGGAATCCGGAGCGCACCTAGATGTTTCGTGCGTTCTATTGTTGAATTTTCACAGGAAATAAGATAACCATGCCGTGGCCCGTAGTTTGCGCAGAATGTTCGCGTCTATACTGTGTGCTACAGAACGCGCTCCGGTTCAACCGGAACACGAAACTTGTACAAAACCGTGTAGTCGTAGCACGGACCGATGTGAGCGTGCCCCTAGGAATAAAACGCAAAAATATACAGGGTAGGCGCTTCGGAGCAAAGGCGTCGACGTCTAGTCAACCGGTTCAAGTCACTGGACCATGTAATTCAAGCGTTTTGGTTTCCTCATCGGCCCATGCCGTGAGCACGCCACCCAGGGCGGCAGTGTCCCCGATCATCTCCTCGTTTGTGCGTCTATCAGTATGATGCGAAGCCTATAAATTGCACTTTCACGCATGATACTTGAGGTCAGTCTGCACTGGCCCTGCCAAAACACAGCCCGCAAAAGAAACACATACCCAACGGGGCTCAAAATGAGGCTGATTTGATGGCCTGGCGTCGCCTGCCCTGCTCACCTGCCCAGGCGTCTGCAGGCCATGAGAGCGGCCTCCCTTGCCGCTGCCCTACCGTCCAAGACCTCGCGTACCAGGCGGACGCATTCTCCCTCCCCCATCACCTCAGCGGTGCCGTCTGTTCCCTCCGCCGGGAGTTGGTCCGCGGGTCGTTCCGCGTGGTGGGAGGCGGACCACGAAGAGAACATGCACGAGCCCTGCCTGTTGGTGCGAGTTTGACGGAGCAAGCGGGTTGAGAGGGGGCTGGAAAGACATGTTGCCGTAGGCCTCACGCATTTGGCGCTCATGGATCGAGCACGACGGTCTGTGAGATGTTTTGCGGCTGTGTGCACGGGGCGGGTGGGAGAGAGACAGGTAATGATGATTGGACGGGCACAGTTTCGGTATGCTTGCAGGCCGTACGGAAATATGTGTGTAGATCTGGAACGCGAAGCATGACATGTACAACGCTACAGCGAGTTATCTTTTTCGTGCAAGGACAGTAACTTGTGGTCTCATGTGCGTTCCTGACCGTCGCATTTCATACTATTATGCATGCTTGTTCCTGCCCACGCTGTATGCATGGGCGTCTGGTGCCCGAAATCCCTGCGAAATCAGACCGAAGTCGTCACCATCCTTGGAAAGATCAGCGAGTCGCAAATCATGTTGCGATAGAGAAAGTCCATTGCAGCGGGACTTAGGCTTGCACCTGTGCGCGAGCTTCTGGGTGACAAAACCAACGCAAGGTATAGATAACGTACGCGCTTCATGCCCGGTGAGAGCGGGAACGATATATAGAGTCAGTATATTCAATACGTCACAACTACAGTTCATTGTCAGGTCCCGAGGACAGAAGCATGTGTCGTGTACCAATCACGCTCCAATGTACCTGCTCCAGACGCCCCTGAGGCCGGCGGGCACGCAGCCGAGGTTCGCGGCCGTTGCCCGGGAAGGCCGGGCTAGGGAATCAAGGTCGTCCTCGGAATACATGTGGTCCACGACCTGCCGTAGGGTGAGAATGAGCGTCGGGCATGATCTGGCGATCACTTTATCCTCTGAACCGCAGACTGCCAGACAACGAGCGGCGAGAGGAACCACTCTTGCGATATTGAACGCTCCGACGCGACGAGGTGCGTGTGGGTGAAAAGCGTTCATTGTCAACCGAATGAAACCTTAAGGCTTGCACATATAATAAAAAAGAAGAATTCCTCTGCCCGAGCAAAGGTAGTGTTGATCCCGCCGATGACAGTAGCACACATGCCTTGGAATCGACGGACGAAAAATCCGGCCAGCCGAAACCTAAGCACTTCGAAACGTTCTTCGGGGGCAGTGATGGCGGCGATGCTTGCCGTCCATCCAGAGCACACTGGACGCATTCTTCATCAATGCGGACACGACCTTCGCCCCCAAAGGCCTTCCTGTCGCCGTCGCCCAGGCCGTTGCTGCTGCTAGTATCGTTGGCATCTTCGCTGTTGTTGTCAGTAACCGTGGAGTTGCCCTTACCGTCCGGTTGAGCGGCCTGAGGATCCCAACCACCGGCTCCGCCATCAAAGCCCTGTCGATGTTGCTGCTTTCGCTGGTCCTGCGCGAGGTGGGGGCCCTGGCGGGACCGAGCCGCAAAGGCGTCGATGTCGTCTACCGCCACGCGCACGACGACCCGCTCTCCCATGCTATTGTACTGCAGTCTCGTCTTGAACTTTGCCATGTTCCGGTATCGGGCCGGGCGAGATCCGGAGTCACACTGCTTCGCCGACAGCAGAGGGTGGTGATCTCTTCTCCGGGCGTTGTTGCCTTGCCGAGAAGCAATCGTCGAAGAGGCGGCGACGCTTGTGCAGCCTATCTCCTGTCCAGCGGCCCTCCTGGTGGCAACCTATTATGGGGGATCAGTTTTCGGTTGCCCCAACATTGATTTTGGGACGGGTCGGCCCATCAACTCCTATTATGATACCTTCGGTATCTGGTCCTCTCGTACGTGGTTATGATGCAGGCGTAGGCCTTGGCAGATACTGCTCAGACTTGATAGGATAGGAGCAGGTCTACGAGGACACTGACTGCAAGGCAACTACCCGGACGAACACCACACGATCAACGTTGTCGTGGCCTCTAATAAGGCCGACCATGCAGCGAGAGTTCACTCTACCGTGGATTGCCCCTACGTTTAATAGCGGTCGAGCGAAGCCCCGGCCTGAGCTTACCATGAGCTACCGCGTTAGGACTCACCCCTCCAGTGGCCTCCAGTACGGCGGCCGCGATCTCGCAGACGCGTTGAAACGACACTGTTTCGCGGCTAGTCAGGTCTCCCATAGCCGCGGAGAAGTCCGCTCGGCTACACGCCTCCATAACCCCAGGTGACCATGCCTTCAGCGTAGCCTTCACCTTTGGAGAGTGAGTTTAAACATGCTGCTTTCAGGAGGGTAGGAAGATTGCCCGGATTTCAAGCGAAAGTGCGCGCATCACACACCGTAGTACCCCCCCTGTTTACTGGAACCGTTGGGTCTACTGCTATCACCAGCGAGCAATGCAAGGAGGACCATACCTAGATGGGCCTGTCTTTGGTATCCCGGGCACAAGCCCGAAAACAAACTCGGATATCCACCACACGGCGGAACCGTCAAGACCTGGGGACAAGACCCCTGAAAGCCCGGGTTTTGACGTTTAGAGGCTGCTAATTTTCGGGCGAATACTATTTCCTATTTCTTCCTGTCGTTTCTCACCTCGCGTGCTAAAACGGGGGATTTCTTATGCCGCCCTCTAGCTGCAAATGCTTCTCGCAGCGCCGTGTCCTCCATCAATTCCCTCGCGGTTGTGGCTTCATGGGGAGGGGCACCTTCATCGCCTCCGTTCTCCCCCGGGCCGCTACTTTCACCTTCCACGGTAATGCCTAGCCGCTGCTGCCATCGCCCGGCGTTGCCCGCGAACCCATCTTTGGTTGTACCCGTTGATGACGCACCCAGAGAGTTCACCGCCTGCTGAGTTGCGACGAAGCCATCGCCATTGTCGTCCCCGCCGCCGCAGCGGCCGCCTCCGTTCTTGAGCTTCTTGTTTTTGAGCATGCCTACGCCCGGCCTTTGGCGCTGTGGTCCGGGTTGTCCCCTGATACCGCTATCTCTGGCTTCTATTGCAGCGGCGAGTGCAGAAGACAGGTGTCGTATGAAGTAGGAAGATCGAAAGCTCTGCCCCGGTTGCAAGTGCCTTGATAAAACTCGAGATGCCTCAGTCGGAAACGGTGCCCAATGACGGCCGTCTACACATATTTTCTGTAATACCGGTGAGCCATCTCGTGGCCACCCTCGCTACGCAAAGTTGTAATAGGGAACAACGTCGACGCGCTCGGTGCCACTCTGCAGATAAACGGTTCACTAATGACACTTTTGAGGAAGATAAGGTTCTTGAGTCACTAAAATAGAAACAAGATATTGTAAGCATCTCACGGTCTTGGAGCAAGATGAAAGTAGGTAGAAATCGCGTTGATTGGGTAAACATGTACAGTGCACAGAGGCCTTCCTCGTTGGCTGATCACGACGTGTTACACCGGGCATATCATGTAGACCGAACACTTACCCGGTCGAACTCGTTTCGTCCCTCTCTCCCCGTGAGAATCGGCACCACTAGCCCCACCGGGGCCGCCAGTCGCTGATGAAGCTGCCCCAGCTTTTGACTGTCGATATCGCAAAGGAAAGTCGATCGATATACTTGTAGCCAGATGGTGAGTGAAGGAAGTGGTGGTTGTGACTGAATTCGACGACTGGTCAGCTATCACACATCCTCTCGCTACGAATGCAGATTCCTGATTGTCAATCCAGTGTTGCGCGTCGGTTGTCCATGTCCTTGTTGGTACACAATTTTGACCGAGTATACCCCCCACGCCGTACAAATCCGAAACTTTGAGTCCTGAATAGTATGCACGTGTTAGAAAGCCCTGTTGCACCTGTTCGTCTCCTGTACCACCGCTATCGAGGGTGGGGGAGGAGGAGTCGGCCACAGAAAAGGCTGTGGACACGGGGGCGGTACTCCCCTTAATTGCGGGGTGAATAAGTGTTCCCGACACCGTGGCACCGGAGGCGTAGCCCTCGCTGCTTGGATAGTCCCAATGCCCCATCATATCGACTTCATCCGCTGCCGCCGAGGCGCCGAGGTGCTGCTCCAGGTGTTGCCGGTACCCTCCTCCGTCGCCTACGTAGTTCGCAGAGCGCGGTCGAGAAACGTCGGGCGGACCCGACGAGGATATCGATGGTTGCGCACCCTCTAGGAATGGACGGTTTCCACCCGCCGTTCTTGCTGCAAATCTCGGCCAGGCGGTAGTGTCGGCGGTGGGTGGGGTAATCCATTTCGGGACCTTGTCGAGGATGCTCCTCCCGCCGGGTACGTTTGACGCTGGCCGCATCGACTGCTCTTCCGCTGTAGTAAAAGGAGAAGCTTTACCGGGCGTAGATAGTTGGCCCCTACCCCGTGCTGCCTCTGTTCCATTCGTGGTGGTGTTGTCGGAGGGCGAACAGGGATCACCAACTGAATCGTGACGCGCCAAAAAACGCGCATGAGACGGCCGCTTTAGCCCCTTCCCTCCGATCTTGTACTCAACGCCCAGCTGCGTCAGCTCTCCGCCGGCCGCCGCTAGCACAACAACAGCCTTAGTGGTTTCCGCCACGTCAGCGACACAACGGGGAGGTGGTCATTGGAGGCTACTGTTGTACGCAAATGGCACAACTCCGCTGCTGAATCTCTACTGCAGAGGCTTCAGGATGTATGTAGTTCAGAGGGCAAACGACGTACAACTACCTCGCGTGCGGGTGCTCCACTGACCCATCCCCGCCTACAGCAGTATCGGATATTGCGCGAGCTGCGCAAGTCTGCCGAAGTATTGGTGGAAACCTAAATCCATAGAGACGTTAAGGACCGTACGCCTCGTTGCCTTCCCCGAAAAAATATTCGCTGCTTGACCAGCAATACGAGGAATATGCTTACTCTCAAACACCCGGGCCGTTGGGCCACACATGGACTAAGGCGCAAGTGCGATGTAGCTGAAGTATTGGTCGCCCTCTGTGGCCACCCCAGAAGTTCACGCCATACTTTCTTTCTGTAGCCCTGTAACCCAGCACTATTGTGCAGACCCCGAAGAACCACAGTTCGACGCATACCTTAAGCTGCGTTCCCGTGACGCCTTCACTCGCGCGTTCCACGGGAATACCCACGAACAGAGCTCCAGGGAGGCCCCTGGGAGAGCAAGGCACGTTGAGTCTCCTCAAAAGGTGCAAAGCTCGACCATGCCGGGCCCTAAACACGCACAACGTGCGATCCAAAGCCGCCGAAAGCACCAAGCACTCCGTGACGGAATTTTCCACCAGTTTGGCCGCGCCGCGTCTTCCTCCTTTCCCAACTGCTTGACAGTGCGGAGGTGATGGTGGTGGTGCCTCGTTGCTTTCAAGTCCGGCGTTGTTTTCCTTCTCCTTTTTATGGTGGACAACGAGCGCTTCTCTTGGTCCCTTCGCATGTATCTCCGGCACGCTGGTGGTCGTGCTGCTGGAGATGTTGAGACCGGTGGTTTTCCTCGCTTTAGGGCCGTCCGGGTCTGACGGGTACAATTCCCACATATCCATTTTAGTGACCGCCGCGTCATGTGTCTGTCATAATGGTTTGGCGCAGTAACGGGGGTGGCGCAAGTCAGATACGGGGGGGGGGGACAGAAACCGCGGGGCGCCGAATAAAAGAAACATGGGGAGGAATGAGACAAACGCGGTGAAGCCTCGTGATTATTAGGGTGAGGCCGTTTGCCACAGGGTCCACGATAAAGTGCAGCTAACGGCAACAAGATGGGATCGGGGATTTGTCGATACGAGGTTCTCTGCTGTCAACCCATCCCATGCGGCACCTTCTGCGACCAAAGTGGTTGCCCCCCGACGCCCTCCTCCCCATCCAGACTCAGCTCCCACGCCTGCACAAACCCGTTGTCCGAGCCGGCGACGCAGTACAATCGCCCCCCTGTGGCTTCCGCCTGCCCTGCCCCCGGCCTTGCTCCGGACCTGCACCGCCTCTTCTCTCCCTGCTCTTGAGATTTTTCTCGTTCGTGATCCTCGCACTGAACTTGGCCGAATCCCCCATTTCCACCGCAGCCATTAATGCCGCCGCCATCGCCGATGCAAGCATCACCCAACGGGAGCAACAGCGCGCACGAAAACGAGCATATCGAAGAGTTCGTCAGCAAAGTCGCGCGGAACTCGAGCCCCCCTCCAGTGTCCCTTCCGCGCCCCACCGCAGCCCCACCAGGCCAGCGCGAGGGGACGTTCCACACTCGTATTTCGCCCCCGCTTCCGACAGACACGACCCACTCGCGCGGTCGCGAGGTGCGGTGGGCAGCGTGCGTACTTCCGTTGCAGGACAACCCGGAGGCTGGAGTTGAGGGGGTAGATTCTTTGACTCGTTCGATGGCGATGACCACACCTCTGTGCGCGTTTCGGTCTTCCCACAGGAGAGGGCTGATGAGCGAACGTGGTGAGGCAAGATAAAGAGTGGGTCAGGCGTACACATGGTATCAGGTGAGAGCCTACCACTTGCAGCGTTGCCAAATATTCGAGCCGTAAACGCTGAGGAGCTAAGGGGCAGCACACTTGCCTTCCATCCGGGGGTAACGCGGAAGAGGTCGTCCACAGAGCCAGCCTCCCGTCCGAGTCACCGGCAACAACAAGCGGGGCTGAAAGCGGGCACAGTGCTGTTATCGCGGCCTCGATAGCCGCACCTCCTCCGCCGTCTCCCCCTCCCCCTCCCCCGCCGGCCCTTCGCAACCGTCGCACCGTTCTCTCGCCCCTCTCTCTCTCGTGGTGTCGTGATCCGGTGCCGAAGGTCGGGAGCGGGTGGTTCGTGGAAGAACTTGGGGCTGGCAAGGACGCGCAAGCAATCGACCCGTCGCTATAACCCACAACTATTCTGGCAGACTCTGGGGCTCCGGCGTTAAAGGCATATTTGCAGGACACGACTGAGTCGTTCGCCGAAGTGTTCCGGCCAACCGCCGGGATGGGGCAGACGGCGAAACACGTGGTATCACTGCCCGCTGCCGTAGCTTCCGCGAAGTGACTGCCACCAGGTGCTGTAAGTGTAAGCCTAGAGACCAGCTGGGGTAGCAGGGGGTGAAGGTATGCGATGGGTAGGAGAACATGTGAGGGTAAGCGATCCCGATTACCCAGCCGAACTAGTTGCGAAAACCCATGGCACGGGGTGAACAGCACTGCCGTGCATCCGACACCGATGCCATGAAGACTGTGAGAGGAAAAGAAGAATATATGGCTGGTGCCTGGGAACACTCTCGCGCGTGTGAATGACGCTATCCGCCTAGAAATGTAGCTTGTTCCCCATCTACCCTCCGTCGACATATTCGTGGCTCTGTTCAGGTGATAGATGCACGGGGAAAGGTCACCAATCTCACTCACCTCAAACCTTCCATGATAGCCATGGTACCATCCGAACCATCCGTCGTCGCACATGACCATGAAATCATCCGCCGCGCAATCAATGTCCTCCTCCCTCGCCGACCGCCACACCGAAGGTACCCTCATCATTCGTGCAACCTCCCTCTTTTTCCCGCCGCCCCCGTAGACGCCTGCAGTCAAGTCTGCGGTTGTCTCCCGCCCTACCCACCCGACGTGCTGCAGAGGCTCGACCACCTCCAGAACTGAGATTAGCCCTCCAGAAACGGCGACGCAAAAATCCCTCCCGCTGCCACCACCACCGCTTTTTCCTCTCGCGGATGCAATAACCTCCGCCCAGCTGCTCCCTTTCGCGGGCGCTTGGAAATTCTCTCCGCCTTTCCCTGTGCAAAGAGACGTTCCCCGCCCAGTGGTGTCGGCAGCGGCACGTCTTGTGTCCACCCCGCTGCCGAACACCCCCGCTTCCTCGCCGGCAGACAAACGTATTGCCATGATGTGGGAAACCCCGGGCCTTCTGTTGGCCGCGAACCGGCCGTTGCCTACGCGGTCTCCGCTTGTGGCGCTGACAGAGGTATAATGCGCACTTCGGGTCTTTCGCGACGCCTTTTTCGATCGCGTGAGAAGTGGAAGATCCGAGAGAAAGAGCGGGTGGATCATCGACGACGGGGAGAGGGACAGACGTCAGCGACGGTGTCAAGGACACGAAAGCGGGGATGTGTGTGATGAGGGCCGTTGAGACGGCATCCAGAACACATCGGATGTCTCACGGAGGCCGACACAACCTCCACACAGGGAAAAGAGCATTGTCCTCCACGAAGCAGAAACGAACCCCTCTTGAGATTCGATGCGATAGAAAAATATTAGAGACACACCAGGGCCATCGCGGGTATCTAACCCCATTCCATCAAAACAGCCCAACGCCAATCTCCCTTGCTGGAATATTTCCCATCGGGGAGATGACCGAAAGCGAAATTTCGCCCCGAGCGTTGGTGGTGTCTACACAGCGAGCAGGAACAAGTTTCCGGCTCGAAAAATAAGGCGCGTGTTCATCTTTTGGCAAAGGCAAGTATTGAATGAGTACACCCTCTTCCCCCTACGATCTGGTTCCGCACCTCGTAGTCTCCAATCATGCGAAGCTCCACACCAGCCTCGGCCACCCCGCTCGCAGCCTCCCGCGCGCTAGCTAAGCCGACAACGGACAGGTGAGCGACGGTCCCATCGCCGCCGCCAGAAATTATTGACCAGTCTTCTGAACTGCCGCCCCTCCCGTTGTTGATGACACCAGAGGATGCGTCGACCCCCTTACTAGACTTAAGTTCGTCTACGCCAGGGGCTGCCGGCGAAGACGGAGACGTGACCCCTTGGTCGGAAGCCCCACACGACCGAAGGAGGCGGAGGGTTAAGATCGGGAATGCGTCGTGTGCGTCGAACACGGCGAGGACTATCCGCTTGAGGCTGCACGAGGATGAGGCGTTAATTCTGGAAAAAAACACGACAGAGGAAGGACAGGGTTCAAATTGTCTCAGGCGTATTTTGCTCCGAATGCTAGTATGAGGCTAGGCAATTTCTCACAAGACGAACAAATGATTTGAGACGGCGATGCGTACACCTTGTTTGGAGAGCACGGCAGGGATATCATGCGTGGTGAACCACTACAAGGCACGTCCTCTACGCTGTGTCCCCAAACTCGAGGCAATGTGAATGTCGGTAGTATCCGGGGGTACAGGTGTGTCTTGTCAAATGGGCGGATCTTGGCAAGCGCGTAAGAGCCGTTCACGCCAATTCAATCAACGTCTTCACCTCTCGGCGCACATCGGTTCGCCTTTCTCTTCTACGAGTGAAAACAAGGAAACACCGAATTAACTTCGATACATTTCAGAGTACACCGATAGTGTGTCTCGGTGCTCGGTGTTCTCGTTGTGTTCTTGATGTTCTGGGACTTTCCAATCTATGCTGTGAGTTGGCATTCAACTATTGCAAGAGCACCTACGCCATGTAGCACTAAATAGAGTCACCTCCAGAGAAAAATTCGCCCGTTGGCGAGCCCAGTGGCAAGCAGCGGCTCCCGCACGCCAATCGCGGTAACCTCAGAAGAATGGAGATCTGGCATGCTTCCCAGGTATTGATAACGACGCCCTTCGAAACCGCCATTGGCGTCACCACCGAGAGAGGTGTTCGGCAGTGTCGGAACCTCAACCTCCCCCACCGAGCCCCTCATCGGCACATCCCCTGAAGTTTGATGTAGAGGTGGTAGGCGCCACAAGAACGCCTCGGTTCTGTGTCGAGGACGGGGATTATCCAAATGGAAAGGTGGTTATGCGTCTCTATGCCGTATTTTTCCTGTTGGTGGTGGTGGGGAACAGCAAAGCTGGCTGAACAGTTACCGCATATATTGCACAGAGTCGCGTACGGTAACGTCTTCACTACACCATTGGTGACCCGAGCAACCAAGCAGCCAGAGGGCATGTGTCTTCACAAAGTGCCCCCCCACGCCGCGAAACAACTCTTTGCGGAGGGGGGTTGATACACGCATTGCTTGGGTCAATTATTCGCGGAAGAAAAGTGTCTATGTATTCGATTAAACTAAAAGGAAGGAAGATACTACTAAACTTGGGGGAAAATTGATACTTTAGAAACCCCACCGCAACAACAACAATCGTGTATCCCTTGCGTCACAAAACAGTCCTACAGCTGCGCGCGGAGGGGAGTGCATGCTTTCGTCCTCTCCGCGAGCACGTGCATACCCGTTCAAGCCAACGACGAGGCCGGAGTCGGCGTCGATCTCGAGTATTTCCATCGCCACCCCGTTGGTTGGCCCGTCCAGGCGTTGAACTTCCCTCGCGGTCACCTGCTAGTCCAAGCATATGTGGGTACGGAGGTCGATATATCAGCGACCTTATCGGCACCTGGTACGAGGAAAAAGAGAGGTCAGAACCCAAGGCAATTGGCATGACACAGGCAACTACGACCCAGCGAGGGTAGCCCAAAGGATAACATCGCTTGGAGACCCGGTAAAACACAGAACGGCGTCCCAAATGATGTGAAAGACTAGTGGTTCTTCTTGGGACGTGCGTCTATCCTAGCGAATGCCTGCTCTTGATTTTCTGCACACCAAGTACGAAATCTATCATTTTCGCTTGCTCCAGCACCGCCATCGCCGTTATCTACGCCCCTATCCATTTCCTTCTACTGGAAAGATAGAACCCATCTACCCTTTCAGTGCCACCTGGAGTGGTTTTGTTGCCGTGGTGCCGTGTGGCACCGGAGCTGGAGGAAGCCGCCTGGAAGAAATTCGGAAAACCCGCAATATTCCATCCCTCCCGGATAAAATTAGCGCCCCCGTTGAAGGATAGAAGACGGCGGATGAAACCTGTAAGTTCCGGGTGTGGAGTCAGGAGGTCACAAGTGCAAGCAATAGACTTTAGCCTCGCTCGGGAACGGAATTTGTTAGTGGCGAAAGGCATATTCAGAAAGCCTTCGGGTTGTCCGTGCGACACCACAGCCACGTGCTCTGTACATGATTTTAGGACTTCCTCAGAGTGTAGCGCATTACACCGGTTTTCTCAGGCGGAAGTGCCAATGAATTCTGCCATCGCCTATTCTCCGAATAGTTGTTGGACCTTGGACAGAGGTACGCCAAACACACGCATAGGTTTGATGTTTGCCTCCTGGGTCTACAATTGTAGTGGCATCCAAATGGTTCATATTCCCATAGAGGGAGGGGTACAATGCTTTCAGTCACGTTCGGTTCTGTCTCTCGTCCCTCTCAACGTATGTGACATCATTTCCCTTGTTGCTTTCAAAGTCCCGAAGTCTCTGCCGAATGTGGTGTCTCTGCCACTCACCTCGCTGTCGCAGGGGCTAAACCGACAGAGGAGGCGCAGTTTCGCATCGTACACGAAGCAGCCGCAGCCATAATCGTCACCTCGCGAGGGGCCTGATCCAGCGAAGTTTCGACCTCCATAGACGACAATGTAAAGGTCGTCTTTCTCGCAGCAGAACGCCGCAATAGCTGGAGAGCTGTCGGAACAACAACGTCACCGTTTAATCAGCAGATGGGCTATTGAATTCATTGACAAGTATTTTCGCATGGAATACCACGAGATGTGCATCGTCCCTCCCTCACAGGTGTGACATTCTTGCGAATGTGACTCGTTATGTTCTTGCGATGCTAGAAGACGTCGGTGTTGTTAGAGGGACATATCCTCCCATCGATGTCCATACTGGGTCACAAAACGTGTAAACAAAAACATCCGCAGCCATCCACGTCGATGTACTTCATCATTCTGTTTCGCCATGGGTTGACAGTCATGTATTGATAATCAAGCCAGCCATAAGTATCTGCGCATGTGCACCTCCTGGCTACCATATTGCGGGTATCACAGCCGACATGGTCGGCAAAAGATGCCATATCGTTTCCATTACGTTGGGTCGATTTTCTGTTATTTTTTACAAAATGCCCATACGACGTAGACTTACGTAGGTATGCAACGTGCCTCTGCGGTACATGTAGTTATAGCCTTTGACCACGTGAAGGCCTCTGCATCAGTTGCACGAGTTCGGATATTAGAAGGTACTGACCCAAGGTCGCAACGGCTTTTGAAGCAAAGTACAGTAGGGAAGAGCTGCTGCTGTTGTTGTAGGCTTTTTTTACACATACTGTTGTCTACACTACAGTACAGCAGTCCACGTAGACTAGGGTACTGCTGTAAAGACGAGATACATTGCTTCAGTAGGGATGAACATGCACGCGGCGTTTCAGGAACTTCGTTGGCGATTACCTGACTTTGCTGGGAGCCATAATCGTCTTGATAACTCTCTTCAAACTCCACACACGCAGCGCTGATGCATCCACGGCAAGGAACTCGCGACGGGGTGTGTTGAAAGCGCATGCTTCGATTGGTGCAACGCCGTCGCGCAGCTGGTTCTTGAACTCTACTGAAGGGTACGATATCTGCAGCGGGCCCATGAGTGCGGGATGTTTGCACGGAGGCAAAAATGTGTCCTTGGGTTGCAATCTCTGTGGTGCCGCACGGAATTAACTACACGATGCCGGTTCAGTGGTCCATCATCTAACGCCCGAGAGGAGAGCGGGGGAGAACGGGCGACCAAAGGTGCAGACTGCAGACGAAATGTTTGTGTTCCGAGAACAAATACCAGGTTCGAGTGAAGCGTTACTGCGGAAAAACCATAGGGTGAACCATAAAGCCTCCACATGGTGCCACCACACCTCCCTCATCGCTTTCATCGCTGTGCATCTCTTCGCGTCGCCAGACTTTCTTTGGCCGCTTCGTCCACCCGGATGCATATGCACGCACGACCTCTGCGCATTGCACATGGAAGTGTGCCGGGGGTGAGGGGGGCAGAAGCAACGACACCAGCAGGCAAGTCCCAACGATTTGACAACTCTGTTGCGGTGCAACCGATTTCACAACAGCACCACTTCCACACACTGTTGTTTGCAATCACATTTGACGCTCAGCTCGCGGTTGCCCGCTTTTGCTCAGGGTTACGACCCTTTCAAATTGGTGGTATTTACCACCTTTGCTGATACCCACAAGGACAGCTAGAGTCGTCGTGCGATTATGCTATAATCGTCGCCAGCATATTTCGTACATGGTGCCAAGGAATTGCTTTGTGAACAACGCCTCCACTGCTGTGTTGCGATGCAACCCCAACTGGAGCGGGTTCCATTTAGACCTCGACAAAGGCAGATGACTAGATTCCACGCACTCCCGAGCTCAAGGGTTATGGAGCAAGTGTACCCCCCCCCCCCCCCCCTTGGTGTTTTGTTCCCGATGAAACGAACTGCTGTATGCGTATGTAGGCGAGGTTACATACAGCAGTAGACACGATGAAGGATATATACCCCCTGCCCCTCCCGCAAACTTGTCGGTTGAGGTGCGCTGGTCTCAGTTTCGTGACTCGCCTTTCCATGAGTGCCGCACATGCACGATAGAAAGTGTGGTATATGTCATAAAGTTTACCGTAGGCGATTAGGGAAACATGATTGGCCCGCCCGTGTGCTCTCGCCCGTGGCCGGCTGCTTCTTGTGCTCCCCGCTGGTTTGTGTGTTACAGAACTACGCGATGTGCGATGTGACCTTTCTTGTGGCAATTTCTTGTACATTTGCCAGTAGACCCCGCTCTTCCTTCACAAGGTTTATCTCAGTGTGACGCATGTGTCCCATCTGTACATTGTACACGCCTTCTCGACACCGTTGTTCGGTTTAACCCCTGAGATTGCACAGGCACATATCTTGGATATATTTCAACCCACTGTCCTTCTTATTCTAGGTGTTGGAAAATGTACCCTTTATGTATGTGTTTGATTCTACACGTGATGGAATACAGGGCCCCCAAATTAAGTTCCGCCCAGCTATTAACGGGTGTGAGAGGGTGGGAGGTATGGATAGCTCTCGTTGGTATCCATGCATGGTGGGACCCTTCCGACCCCCTCCCTTCTCGCGCTCTTCCCTCCGTACAAATAGGCACTCATTGCGTACCTCGGGTTGGTCGTCTGCTGCTGACGGTATGTGTAGTTGCCTCATCCGTATTGCTTGAGGCGGCAAAGAGTATTCCGACACAGTCGGCTAGTGCTAGTACTATCGGTGCAGCGAGTGCTCCCGCTTCTACCGCGGCACGAACAGGGGTGCTGATCCATGGGTGCCACCTGGGCGCTAAGCGATGGCGGAGCATCATGTGGGGGGATGAGCAACAGCAGCGCCTTGGCCGGTGAGAGTAGTCGGTTCGGACCACGTTCTTGGTTAGAATAAAGGCATGCATTCCACTGCAAGTACGTCCTGCTGCCACGTGTCGAGGTAGAGAAACGTGTCAGCTTTTGTCAAGTGCGGCGAGAAAAGAAGGATGATCCCAAGAAAAATGTAGTTCACACATGAAGCCAATGGTTGCGTGTCGTTCGAAGCTGGGGTGATACAGAGCAACGAAGAACTAAAATGTAGGCCGGGTTCCCATCACAAGGTCGATGTTGCTCCTCCTCTCATTGCGTCTTGCGCTTCGCCATTTTTGCTGTTGTCAAGGCTGCCGCACGGGGCCAGGCTGGCCTGGGAGGAGAGCGCCTGCGTCGTGGTGCTCGGGACAGGCGCAAGCGAACGGGACGGTGTCTTGGAAGGTCGGTAAGTGGTTTTGCCTCACGCGCCTATCGCGCTTTCTTGTGTCCCCCACAGTTAAATGGTTTGCCTCGTGCCATCGTTGCGATACACAACACAACATTTGACGACGTGACGTGTGCGGTGATAGCGTTAAACGTGCCAATTGTCGGGGCATTCCTCCGCAGATGTACGTTTTCCTACAACGTGGTGTGAGTGCCCTGTCCATCGCAATCGATACGTGTGCAGGCAACGCCTACCCCAACCCGTCTATCTCGGGACTCTTGGTATTCGCTCATGTTGTCATCCAACTAATTCACAACCCTGTTTCCAGATACGCTCTCGAATACCTGAAGGATAACTGGGAGAAGCTTGGGGAGTTTCGAGAGGCTTTCTCGGGGGTGGACCTGGAGCAAATAAGGACGGCAGTGCAGCCGTTGCTGGTGGCAGAAGGTTTGTACTGTTGTTAGCGCACGAGAACCGACCAGAAATCGGCGTTGGAATGACGGCGAAAATCCTCATCCTGAGCGTGTGGTGCTCCTCTCGCCGTTGTCTTGCGGCGTTTTTCATCTCTGATTCGCTTTGTCATGTGTGCTACATTCGGTGCCGGTTGTTTATTCTCACTCCGCCATCCACTGGCATGAGAACTCTTTGCTCGTACGATACTTAAGGAAGCTACTTAAGGAAGCAGTTCTTGACATTTCCTGCACCCTGTGCGACTGGCTCGTCGTACTTGCTTGCTGCCGGCAGTCCGATCCCACAATACGCGGCAAGAGCTACTGGAGGCTGGGTGCATTTTCCGCGAGGTCAGGGTCGATGGTAGTTTGTGCAGTTAAATAATGGCACTGCAAGGGAACACACACGATAGTCCAGCGCAAGACCTACGGAGCCATGACGAGGCGGGCAAAGGCCGATTTTTGGCTACGAAGACGGCGGTGTTTTCGACTTCTACCTCTTGCGTAAGAATGCGTAGCTCTTTTCCCTATTTTGCCCACCAGTTTGCGCAAGTACTACGGCCTCTTCGTCAGGTGTCGCTTGCGAACACTGCACAGGGCCCAAGATGGCCACGGCTCCGCAGCAGTTAGGAGCGCGGAATTCTCACCCTCCCCCCATGACAGGGTACCGAAACGTCTTGTTGCCCTTGTCCCCTGTTCGTTATCCTCTCGCTGTTGTTTTCCTAAAACATGAACGCTGTGACTGCTCTTGTGGCAGAAAAACTGCAACCGAATCATCCTCGTAAGCTCTCCGACCCATCTACCACGGTGCTTGCGGGACGCCTGTTCCCTTTGGCTGGACAACAATGACCACCATACGCCGGCAAGCGCTGCTCTTGACAGTACCATTGGAAAACCCGGACCAGAAAAAGGACACGAGGAGGAGGAGGAAGAAAATCTTGCCCGAATGGTCAATGGTGAAGCGGAGCCTCAAAAACTGCCTACCAGAGGAGCCAAGTTTTTAGGGAATCAGGGCGGTAGGTTTGATGACACGATGCCGGCCAAAGACGACGACTTAGTCCGTGGAGATATCGATGACCAGGGGGAGGCGCGACGACAGCATCATCAACGACAGTGGCGACCGTTGATCCTCGCATCCCCGAGCAGTACCAGCTACGCCAACTACAGTCCCGCTGACGTTGCCATCGTGGAGCCACCCCACAGAGGCGACAGCAGTCATCACGTTGCGGAAGAGAGTCGCGGCAACATAGCCCCAGAGATCCCAGAAAGTGGTGAACCACCGGCAGCAGCCCCAAACGGAAGGAGGGGTGATTTTGGAGGTGCCAGAAGTGTTCCGGATCCCGAAGACCATGTGCCTTTGATGTTGCACGAGTTAGCGGCAATGGTGTTGAGGGTGAAGCCGGGTAGCGACAAGCGTTTTCGACTAGAGTTTGAGGCGCTTCTGCGTCGATATGTGGAGAACTAGCTCGTGACCAAGTCTCTATACCTTTGCCTGGCCGTGATGCAACCTTGGCACGGCCGGCATCCGGATGCAGCGGAAGGTGACTAAAGCCCTTGACGGGAGACAGTTTGTCGGCTCCATGGCATTCTCAGTGCTGCGCCAATTTATGTAACTGGAGACCTCTTGTGTGGCGTAGGTGAATCACTGGTGTCACCTTCTGCCTGCGGGTCAGGATACTTTGGAGCCGGGGCGACAGCGTACACTTAAAGATGCGAAAGGTTTCGAATTTCGATTTCGGCTTTGCTCGTGTGCCATGACAACCTGGGAGTGCTCGTATTGTCACCACGCGTCAGTCCCCCAAATCTATAAGGTTTTCGGCCAACCGATCCTTGTGTGTAATCCAAATAACGTCAAGAGCAACTAATTCCAAGGTACGACCCGCACGCAGCTACACACCAATACGCTTATAGCTGTGCCGAACATGGTGCGGAGGTATAGGGTGCCATATTGTGTAATCAGCGTACTGCATCGTTCGTTGAACGGCAATCGACAGAAAAACGTATCATCTACATGTCGATACGAAGCTGCTTGCCGGTACCAATCTATATGTACAAAACAGGTAGTCCTCTACTTCTCACCAAACACCCTACACATCGCCTCGGATGAGATGGCTAGACTCCCGCTTCCCCAATGGTCCGGAATGTCTTTCCGAATCGATTTCTGCCGCTCGCCACAACAACAATAACAAGCACCATAAAGCCCGCATCCTCCTGCTCGTTCCAAAGCTCCCTCCCCCGAACCGTGCCCAGAATGCCCTTTAGCCCACCAAACGCTGCGAAATCGTTCTCCGTGCTCGTTTATTCTGTGAGACGTCATAGCTTGCTTCTCCGGGCCGGCGGGTCCTTCGTCAGGTGCTTCAAAGCCGCCTTTGGGTGTCCTGCTTGCATGCGCCTGAATACAGTATTTCACACGAAATGAGTCGGACATCAACGGGCGAAGGGGAGTGGGCAGTCCGCCCAACGAAACAAAAATCAGAAGAGGCGCCCATTCGCTTCGACATTAGGGTGCACGCCGAATGCAATGCCAAGGGATGCGGGGAGGGAGGATTCGCTGTATAGGTGGGCCGTGCAAAGCTCATTTGCAGGCATTGTCGTGAGCAACACACAAATCGCTTGGCACACGTGCATGTAGAACGTTCGACCCCAAACCAGCGTCCGCGCGGTTCATTTCCCCATTTCCCCGCTCGTGTTCATGCGAGACAACTACTTTTCACAGAAGTTCACAGCATCACCAATACGTAAACCCACTTGTCAAGCTCCCCGCACTCCTCCGCGAACACCCTGAGCATCCTCGGCCGCCGGTCGCGCCACACCATTCGCTTGAACGTCCTCACCGACTCTGTCGCGAAGCAGGTCTCGACCACTTTCTGCCTCACGCTGTGCTTCACCTGCGAGTATCGCGCAAGACCATGAAGCAACGAACACGGGGGGAGGGGGGGGGGGGTACTCATAGTCGTGCATGCCGTAGTCGTTAGACCATTGACCTTGCATCCCTACAAAGCCGGGATGGAGCACGCCGGGTTCTCACCGGACCAGGCCCTCACATCACCAAGCGCGAAGCGCCGTGAGGTATTCGGCGAGTCGCATGAAGGGTGCGCTGCATCCTGCTAAGGATGTTCGGCATCTTGTGCGTACTTCCTTGCGCATGGACGACAGCTGCGTATGACTTGAAATATTTTCTGGTGCTTTCACTTCAAGAGACAGTTGTAAGCACAGTGTAACTGCCTCGAGGGTGCTTGACCAATTTAACACAACGTGATGCCATCATCCCCTTTGCGTGGAGTGCAGCTCTCGACCCCGCACAGCGTAATCTACTCGACCACCGCTACGGTTACCGCAAAAACAAAAACAGAGGCAAAAAAAGCAACCTGGTTGCCTAGCTCACAAAGTGATCGGCTTGTGTTACAAAGTCATTGCCTAGCGACGAAATCCACGGAGGAGGGGGGGGACACAGGACGTGTAGAAAACCCACGGTGCTCGGGCGCGCAAGTTAAATCCACGTGCAGGCTGCTGAGCAGAGCTTTTCATGAGTCCCGCAAGGATACACCCCCCCGGAGTGTTTCGCTAATCACTAGGGCGGATGGACACATGGGTTGCAACGCGGCAAACACATATATGAAAAAATCATAGGAGGGTCCAGGAAAATACTTGCCAGGGCTCAACGACAGAGGACAGTTTCCAGGGATTTCGTCGTGTATGTTCAATGCCAAGATTTTCGATTGAAAACCAGGGTAGCGCGAGTAGCTTTGGCTTGAGTCGGTCGTCGCACGCCCATATTGAAGCCAAAAGCCATCCACCAGAGACGACACGTGACGACAGAATCGAGTGTTCATCCGGGGTAAAAGATCAACAAGAGCGGGGCATAGGATACCCCAAAATTCTGACAAACATACTGCAGCATGTCGCAAAAATAACTTCAAAAACAACCGCTGAACAGGTGGCCTATCGTGGTTGACGAAATTTTGTACGATCTTGCGTCACGATTAACTGGCCCACTCGCCTGCATCAAGAAATCCTTCTCCGTGTCGGCCGTCACCACCGTCGAAACCAATCCCGACGACAGGGCCTCTTGCGCGCTGAGTTTACGACCCATGATGAGCATGTCGTTGGCACGAGCCAACCCCTGTTTGTTGCGCCCACGCGTGCATACCAGAAAAACGAGGTTTGCCAGTGACGGTGGTCGGGGAGGGGATCAGAGGGTGCGGCAGTAAGGCCTGAAGGAACGACCAAATAATTGAGCATGTGAAAAACGTGCACAGGAAGCCTAACAATACGTGTCCTCTTGTGCCCCTTAGGTTTCACGTGTGATGATGAACATCTTTCTGGCGAGCAAGCACCCTTTCGCGTACGGGAAGTGGGGTGCGAGAGCAGCAACGTGATTGAAAGGGAAGATAATCACGAAAACAACAGGGCATCACGGCGAAAACAAACCGTGGCAGCAACGTCGACACCACATCCAGCGATGAGCATGTGCCCCTCGGCACGGTGTACAAGAACCAACAGTAGCGTGCATACTAGGAGGGGAGGAGTCAATTCGATGTCCGGGAGCGCGCATTACAGTGCAATTACCGTAGGCGTAGGCCGCACCGATTCAAGCCGATTGAAATTTTTCTCACCAAAGTCTCCGGAAAAGTGAGGCTGGAGCAAAACTCCGGCACGATCGCGAGTCGAAAGAAGGGCGTCCAAAGAGTTGCGCCTTCCTTCACCCCCGCTGCTCGCTCCTCCCTCGCCGCAGGAATGCCGTGGCGCCGCCGTCCTCCAACATCCCCCTCCCTGGAAGCGTTCGAGGTGGTACGTGGTGGCCCCCCGTAGGCGTAGACTAAGTCACAGTGTGGAAGGAGCGTTACGCCGACTCCAACGGCTGGCCCGTTGACGGCGGCCACGAGGAGCTTCGGAAAACGCAAGACTGCGCTCCCGAAAACCCCAAATGGCTGCTGAATCATCGGTACAGGCGAAATCGCTGGGGAAAACGAAGCATACCACAACACACAGCCGGGGCAGGAGGGTACGTTAATTCAGGTCACAAGCTGAAGCCATGTATCAACGGGGACTTGAGGGTTCAACAAAGACCCACCTGACAGAACATTAAACGGCTGCAACATCACCGCGGCGTATGAAATGGCGCTGGAAGCAAAGTACGCCCGGGAGTGATCGTGTTGTGTATAACTCGGCCCAGCTGGGAGGATGGGAGTTGGGAAGGGGCAAGAGTCCCAGAATGTCGGTTCGGCCTGAAGGCTCCCTGGAAGGCCGCACGAAATCAAGCCCCGACCAGAGGTTGCAGCAATGAAAAAATACGTAATCGAAAGCAGCCCCTTAGAAAACATATCACCGAATGCCACTTCGCATCCCTTTCGGGGAAAATCGAGCGGGAAACAGCGGCTCGGGGGTGGGCAAAGGACTTTCGGCGCCATTTCGCATGATTGTTCTCAGCACTCACACTGTCGTTGGAGCTCCTTAATATCGGCACCGCTTGTGAAGTACCCCCCTGACCCCGTGATTACTACCGCCAAGACGGACTCGCTGCGCTCAGCCGTTTCAAGGAGTTGAACTACGCGCAAGTAAAGTGCTCCATTGAACGCGTGTTTCGACTACGAAGCACGCATGGACGCACACGTTGCGGGGGAGAGCACCAAAAGACATGGGGAAGAACAAAAGATCAGCGAGTTCAAGGGACAAGGGTGGGATGAAACTTCGAGCGATAAGAGAGATGGGACAAGAAGGCGTGACACGTATTGATAGTCACAACCGTTGGGTGAACACACGCACACGCTTGCAGAGAGCGGATCAACAATTTCACTGCCGGAACGGCTTGGATAGTTCCAATTCAACATGTCGGCAGCCACAGAAAAGCCGTCTTACAGCAGCAATTAGGTAAAATACCCAAAAAAGGACAAGAGAAGCACTGTACATAGGCAATGATGGTCACTCTCAGCTCCAGCACCGACACATTTAGTGCCACCTGATGTGACAAAGATACAAGGCCATACAAGTGATCCCTCCGGAGTGGGCACAATAGAGCACAGTGTCATCAAGACGTGATGAGGATGGCAATAAAAGTAGGCAGCAGGACCAACCCATAGCTGACTGCCAGCTTCGGTGTGACGTTTCCCAAGCTCAACAGTTAACACAGCGAGTGCGACCCCCCTAGAATCTGCCACCCCCTAGAATCCGCCCCCTAGAATCCGCCAGAGAGATCCGGTTCATTATAAGAACGGCCGGACTTTTTTCCAGCCGGATTTTTGCCCATCCTGAAAGGTGATGTTTTTTGGGAAAGGAAAGCAATTGCATAGGAAACAGCCTTACAAATATATCTCCGCTTGTTTCAACACGCACGTGTTGATCCAGAAAAACACGGCATTGCCGCCACGGATTTTGCCACTGCCAAGAAGAAAAAATGGTATTTGGCTGCATGGCACCCAGCAACCAGCTCACGTCCGACTCTCTCACCCACGATTCCGCACCACCTGGCAAAACAGCCCGGTGTGCAGACCCCACGTGTAAGAACTTCGGTGGCCGCGTTTGACCAAAACCTCGGTGGCCAGACGGTACTCTTGCGGCAAAATTACAAAATTACTTGCATATAGACTATTCCGGCAGTACGCACCGGAGACGGGAGGCTCCGGTACGTGGTATCTAGCACCAGAGGGCAAGGAGTGGTAGACTATCATGCTTTGATTGGCTTGAAAGGACAGCGCTCAGATCCACAGCAGTCAGCAACATGTGTATTCACACCTTCGGCCTGTTCAGAGTCAAGGTGGCGATGCCCTCCTCTTCCTGGTACAGCACACACGAAACACCATCCTCTCCCCCGCCGCCTCTGCCCCATCCTCCTCCGTGACCGCCTGCTTCTCGTTCCTCTGCTGGCGAGTCCCTGCGTGTTGGCGATATGAGCTCGACAGTGCTCTCGTTGACCTTCAGTCCTGCTGCAGAACACTGGCACTCGCATAGAATACGACCGCCGCTGGCGATTCTACACTGTACCGAGGCGGGCGGTGACATACATCGCGGTGGAGACAAACACCGCTCCGCTGGTACCATTGTGCGGGACGCCGGGAAAGCAAGGCGTATGCCACACAGAAAGTAGCAGCATCAACTGCAACAACTTCGTCGCAAGCAACCCTCGTTGTGGGCGGTGATCGTGGGGTGATCCCGGATGCCCCGCACCATGGCGCCATGACGCGGAGGGCCAAGGCTGGCGTGTATCATATTGTGGTCCTTCTGTACAGCAGTACCCATTGTTCAAGCAGCTTCTGCGTCGCCCCCTGGTTCAGAACTTTTTTGTTACCGTTAAGCTTCAAGCTTGCCACTTTTGCCTTTTGCCCCTTTTGCCCACATGCAGCGTGAACACATGGACGTTGATGACAGATGATGCTTGACGCACCATTTACCACACTAAAGAAAGAAAACCCCGTTCCGGCAATGTGTGGAAGCCTGGTTTGTGAAAAAAAATCACTGAAGATGAGTGTACAGCCGCTTGTAGCCTTGTGGTTATATTATTGGGGAAGTTTCGGAAATATGTGTGGTTTTGCCGAGGGACAAAATCCCTGTTGGTGCATACGAACCCCAACGTAGTGGTAGGCCATATCCCATATGGATCTCTTCTGGGGAAGATAGCAACAGTGGGAGACCACTCCCCCGCAAGAACACAGTCACCATAGTCTATATGCTATTGTGAACTTGTCGAATGGTTTGAAATAATATGTGGGTCGCACGGTAGATAATCCGTATGCAAGATTTGCTGGGCACTTAGGTACCGGAGATCGGTTGGGCAGGACACTACACCTAGATTGGACTAAGTGTGAGGTTTTCGAGCTCGAGACACTTCCCCGTTACTTGCCGGAAGGCCATACGTATGGTACACTATTGCAATGGCGGCAGAGGGAGAACTCCTGGATTGCATGCATGGATGCCGTCAGAAATGGCTACAATACCAAGAGAGAGATTGCATGCCCCCGTAGCCCAGGTTTTCCTTGGCATGGTTTTGGTACGCGACCGATCAAACGGTCTAGACACGAAGCACGCAAGACTACAACGAATGGGGGTTGCCAGAAGAGGATGTTCCGGTCCCGTGATTGGAAACGACGAATACAGTACCTTGCTAAGCTGATTCAGTACAAGCCTTACAAAGTCAATGCCTACATCAAAGCGCTATAGCAACAAAAAACATGCTGCGCATGATTAGATATGTGGGGCAGGTGGGTATCACAGAGGATGTGCATTTAGCGTTTCAGACACTACGCAAAGCGTACCTCGCGACTTTTCCCCCTCCGTTGGTTAAGCAACGTAAGGTACCTCAACTGGTAGTGATAAGTTTTACTAGTTCTGTTGCAGATTCCTTGGGGCTCCGTGGGATGTTCATGCGTGCAAGTATTCTAGCGTACATTCCCCCCCAACACCGTGCATTCCGTGACGCTGTACAACGTATTATCCCTTGCTTTAAGTCTAGATAGTATGATGTTCAATACCACCAACGTCGCGAGAGATGTAAATCATGGTAAATATAGATGTATTTGTAAAGACCCCGAATGGAGTAAGTACACGGTTGTTGCGAAGGATGGTTCGAAATGTCTGATTACTACAGATGCCTGATGTCTTATTGATGCCAACGCTGCAGCTGTGCTAAACCTGCAAGCTGGTTTTAGAGCAGAATATGCTGAAGCTTTGAATTACCTGTCTTTCTTTGAATCGCTCATAGACGCCATAGAATCGTACATTGGCGATGTATGTCATTAACTCAAAGTGCCACGCGGTGACATTGAGGACTGGGAGGATGCTTTGTACGACGCGATAGAACAAAAAGTGACTGACGCGGACAAGGGGGAGGTTCCTTAGCCCCTTACAGGCCACAAGATGTTGCTGTAGCTAGGACATCCTTTCAACAATTGCACAAGAAGGTGGTGTTTACGAGAGTCGACAAAGCGGCCAACTGCATTTGTATCACATGTAAGCCGTGCTATATTGGGTTAGCCAGAGCAGAACTTGAAGGACCGGGGTACAGGACAGTACACGGAGAGTTGGAGTTGGTGAAACAGACGACCATTGACCGACAACATAAGTTTTTGGTAGATGAAAAGTTGCCCATCCCACAGCGGCAGTACAAAGATGAGGACGGTGACACCCACTCAGAAGTTACCCACGCGATACCTCACTGCTAAACTACATAAGCCGTTGGTAGCGACACGTGGAATTACAGCTTGTTGCGGTACGATAACAGAAGGGGTGGCTAAGGTAGTTAACGCAGTTCTGGTAACAGTAGCTTGACGTCCCCAGAAGACGTTGGTGTGTATCTGATCCGAGCGACAGGTCACGCATCACCCGGACAAACCACGCCTGGCGTTGGTTTGGGTGGGCTGGCGCCCCCGAGCGAGAACGCCGCTTTGGGTGGGCTACCCCTCACTTCCGATGATTTTGCGGATTTTCGCAAACACGGGCCTCGAATGAGGATTGACGACCTTGATGCTCCTGCAGGAGAATTCGTCGCTCGTGTTTTTCCGTGCGTCAATGCGCGAGGACCTTTGCGACACCTTGCGGACGATCGTGCATTGTCTTGCACCGAACACTCCGTATTTGCTGTGCCTGAGGATATTTCCGCTGCAACCCAGAAAAAACAGGGCGCTGTGCCGGCACTCCGGTCTTCAGCTTCTCCTGTTGTGTCTCCGATGAGACCATTGTATAGGGACACCGCCACGGTTTACGGACCGTCTGCGCGACCCCACACGGATACAGCTGCATTTGCGCTCCCTATCCATGACACACAGACCGCCGACGATAACTCTCGGTTGCCCCCTGTCGTGTCTCCTGCGACAGCAACTGTCGACGCCGGCTCCCACTCTGATCGTTTGGATGCCGCCGACTCATTGCCGCCGCCTTCGACCTCTCGGTTGCAACCGCATCGTATTGATCCGTCGGAACTGATCTCTACTCGTACGCGTCGCAGAACCGCGGCTGCTGCGGGTCAGCCTCAACCCTATGTAAACTACGGTTTCGGTCCTGATTTGTCGATCCCCCCACACGCAGGCGCTTCTCGTCGTCAAACACGAGTGACGCCAGCTGACACCACGACTGAGCCTGCTGTCGAACCTGTCCCAACGGTGCCCATACCGCCGCCGGAGACGGTTACCGACGCCCCTACGGGTCCTCTGTTGGGTTTGTCACAACCGGCTGCTGCAGCTGGTAAGGCAACGCCCGAAGTGGATTCCATGGTCCTCAATCCTGCTGAGTTAGAATTCCGTGAGTCCGTCGAACGCTACACGCGTGCCGATTGGGCGCGGGAACAGCAGAAAGAGCCCGTGTGTGAAGCCACCATCCGCTACATTCTCCTCAAACACCCTCAGAGTCTACCTATCGATTTCTTTGCCGGAGTGTCATATCACTCCAGACATAGACCATCGTTGGAGGATATTCGAGAGCTTGCAGATAAAGGACGCCTCGTCACTGATGATGGCCTTTGCCTCTTGGTACGAAAGAATACCAAGCCCCCGGTCTCTTCTGACCGTCCCGGAGGACGAGCTGCACGTCTGTTGAATGACGAACCCACTCGTATTTACGTGCCCATGTTAATGCGACCTTGGGTCATGCAAGCTTGTCATGCCAACGCCCTCTGCCACCTTGGTACCGCTCGCACGCTTAGCTTGCTTGAGAGGTTTTACTGGTGGATTGGGATGAGTATCAGTACTCGTTGGTGGATTCGGCGATGTTTGAAATGTCAGGCCCGCAAAACTGCGCGCCAGACTATTCGCTGGCCGATTCTCACGATCCCTCTGCCTTCGGCACCAGGGGTCGCGATTAGCGTCGGCTATTTTGGTCCGCTTCCCACAACTCCGCGAGGTTTCTCGTATATTTTGCTATTCACTGACCGCTTCAGTCGGAGAGCCAATATGTACGCAGTGACTGACGCCGAGTTCACCGCTGAAGGTACAGCTGACGCCCTTGTCAATAAATACATGCCTGTTTGGGGATGCCCCCTCAGCATTCTTTCTGACAATTGATTGCAGTTTCGCTCCAAACTGTCGGTTGCCATCCTAAAATTGCTACGCGTCCGAGAAATTACGACGAGCGCGTACCACCCTAGCGGCAACGGAGGAGTTGAGCGCGTGAACCACACCATGGCCCAGATGCTGGCGATGGTTGTGAACGAACGACAAGATGATTGGGACATTCATCTCCCTCATGTTGAATTCGTGTACAACAACTCCGTTAGCGCTGCAACAGGATTGGCGCCCAATGCGGTGCATATGGCGCGCCTTCCCAGGTTTCCACTGACCGTTTTTGGCCACATTTACGCTCATGGCCACCAGTCGCTTGCCCGTGATCAGCTCGAGTATTGCAACCTTGCCGCCGATCGGCAACGGCGCTCCTACGAGCTAGTGCGTGAACAACACGCACTCACAGTTTCCAGTATGGAAAGACGGAACTCGAAACTGTCTGATGCCTTACACAAACTACCCGTTTACGCTACCGGTGGTTGGGTGTGGGTCTACAACCATTTGGCTACCATCCGCCAAGGTGCCAAACTCACTTCCAAGACCCGCGCAGACGCTGACTCCCAGGTACTCAAGAAGAAGCTGTCCTTGAGTTGGACAGGTCCTTTTAAAATCCTCGCAGTCGGTCCTTGCAACAAGGCTCCCGATGGCAGCCCGGTGGCTGACAAGCTCCTGTACTTGGATCTTCCCTCCGATATGCCCGGAGTGGATGCCAAGCACCGAGTTTCTGTCGCTCTTTGCAAACCGTGTGCCAACCCACACGATAGTGACGAGATGCCTCGGCTCTTGCCTGCAGGCCTCACGCAGTATTTTCTCAACAACTACGCGACGAAGTCTCCACCATACCATGTTACCGCGGACGATGTTTCGGCGCCTGTCCGTAGGCTCGAGGTTTAGAAAATCACGGGACACCAGTCGGTTCGAGGACGTTGCGGCGTCATCGCAGTCATGTACGAGGCCCACTGGAAAGGTCTTATGCGCCCCTCGTGGGAACGAGAAATGGACCTCCAACACTCTCGAAAACAGATTCTTCTGTATTGGGCTGGTACACCCGACCAACACCGGCAGACTAACCGTCTGTATCGTCGCATGCGCATTGGCGCCGCGGAACGTGAACTGTCTCGCATCAAAGGCGAGCGGTCCTCGTCGCCTGG